AGGGAGTACTGGCACTTGCTTTTCGGTGACATAGGGAGTACTGGCACTTGCTTTTCGGTGACATAGGGAGTACTGGCACTTGCTTTTCGGTGACATAGGGAGCACTGGCACCTGGTATCAGCCGATATTTATTAAAAATCAAGATATTGCCATCAGTCTGATTTGTCATTCTTGGTCGATATTGCCAGCTCTTATTTAAACTTCATCAGTATTCAAAGTCAGCAGTATCAGAGCTAAAGCTGTAACTACTAAAAGAATGGAGATGATTGCATTGGACGATCAGCCATTTTCTGTAGTGGAGGACAAGGATTTTGATGGCTCATTCATCTGGTCTAGAAGTACCAGCCCGCAACAAGTTTATAATTCATTAATAGATCTAGCTGGCAGATTGATGTTTAATCTTCCACATAATAAAAAACAATGTAATGTCATTTCACTAATCTGCATCAGCAAGTCCCCCCCCCCCCCCCGTGGTTTTTTTTCTTTACTGTTCAATAGTTGGACTTTTAATTTTTTATCATCAAACAGGGAGAACGCCCCACGCTTTTTACCTCTAGTACAATACCATCTTATATTACCATTTTGCAGCAGCATATTATTGCTTTTTGGCTCCATACCCGTTTCAATTAATTCACCAGTGTGTATTACCTTTGTGCTTTTCTGCAGATATTTGGAAGTTTACCTCAAGGAATTCCTTAAATCTGCTGAGCAGTACTTCATGGTGGAGTTACCAGTGACATATTACATCTTCACGGACATCCCAGAATTTGTGCCTAAAGTTAAGCTTATGAAGCAGCGGCACATGAAGGTCATTCAGGTCAAAAATCAAAAACGCTGGCAGGACATCTCCATGCTGCGCATGAAGACCATTGCGGACTTCATTGAGTCACACATCCAGCACTGGCACCAGTACATCTTCTGTTTTGATGTGGACCAGGTCTTCGTGGGTCGCTTCGGCTCAGAAGCTCTCGGCGAAACAGTGGGCCTGCTGCATGCATTTTACTATCGCAGTCATGTGAAGGACTATACCTATGACCGCAACCCTGAATCGGCAGCGTACATGGTGACTGGGGACTTCTACTACCATGCAGCCATCTTTGGGGGAACGTGGCAAGGGGTGAAGAACATAACAGAGTTCTGCCATCAGGGCATCATGAAGGACAAAGAGAAAAACATTGAGGCCTTGTGGCATGACGAGAGTCACCTCAACAAGTACTTCTGGCTCCACAAGCCCAGCAAAGTGCTTTCCCCAGAGTACTGCTGGTCCACAATCATTGGGTTCCGCTTTGACATCCGAGTTCATCGTCTTCTTTGGGCAACAAAGTTCTACGACATACTTAGAACTTAAGCAAAACCTTGAACTAAGGACAAGAGAGTATAACTGATATTTGTATTTTTTGCATACTAAAGTTTTCATGTAATCCTGGTTTCATAATCTTACAGATTGTACTTGGATGGTGTCATGGTACTGCTGTACCTGCCAACAGACATGGCGTTCTGATCCAAACTGCACTAATGGCTGCATCACCTTGACCTAAGATATGTTCTGTGTGAAACGCTGTGCTCAAAACTCACATGTATCAGTCTTTAAACCATTTTCTATAGGCCTTGTTTGCGGATGCAAATAAACATGGATGTAATTTACACAAAATATACTTTGTTTACATGAAGAGAATCTCTCCAGTCTGGCACTATATTTAATAACAGGAGAAATTTAATTTGTGCATAGAGGTGCACAAATTAAATATATCAATTTAAATGATGAAAATGGATGTCTGATTTATGTATTGTGAATGTATGGTGTCCAGTAAAATTAAGTATTCAGGTTGCCATGTTGTGGTATGCTGTGGGACTCATCTAATTTAAAGTACCGTCTGAGACCCTACAAGGGTCATGCTGCTATTAAGGGGATCGCTTGCAGTGCAGAGTCGGGCTGATTGAGTGTTAACCTTTAGTTAACCAACGAGGAACAATGGTGACAACGATAGTGACACATTGCAGTGCTTCTGATCATATTTTGAACTCAAACTCACAATTTGAAAGACACACATACCATCTATGTATTTTACTAATTTTCTGCAGTTTTATGTTTTGATAAATTACTGCTGAGTCCTTGCAATGTAGTACAAACGCCATACTTAATCATTGACGAAAGATTAAAAAGCCTGAACAAACAAGTTCTTTGTCTCCTATACTCGATGAGACACTACACTAAAGTGCTATACTCAGCTGTAAACATTATAGTGCTCCATTGTGGAAGGGTTGTAAATTAGTGCAGTATCTTAAATTACATAAACCATTGACCAGATACAAATCATACATTATATGAGAAAAAGATCCTTAATAAATGGCAAATCTTGTATGCCACTGAAGCATTAAGATATTAAAGAATTACAGTGGTACCTCAGTTCTCAAACTCAGAACTCAAATTTCTAGTCGAACCAACCAGTTAGAAAAAAAATCACCTAGAACTTGAGCTGAATCTCAGAAGTCAAACTGTGACCGCTGACCTAATAACTTGTACGCGTGGGGAACATGCACGTCTCTCAGCAGAAACAAAGGGTAACGCTTCAGTCTCAGCCTCGCATTCACTGTGATAGCATGGTGCATGTTTACACTAGCTGAATACATATAGACAGTAAAAATACATTTAAACAATGATAGACAGTAACAGTAATATATAATACATTTAAAAATAAAGATTTATTTTAATATTAATAAACCATTAATACATTTAATTATAATAATATTGTCGTGTGGAGCAGGGAAGGAACGGAGACAAAGGCGCAGACATCGGGGACAATACAATGACTGGACTGGGGAAACAAACAAATGCAGTCAAAATAGAGAGGACTAATGACAACAGCTAGAAATAGCTGATCACACTGGGTTAACGAGGGGGTGTGGCACACGGAAGGAGCAGACGATCGGGGCATGACACGTTTTGTTTTTTTTTTAGCTTTACACATTGTTTGGATAGTAATTTTTAAAGAAAATAAATGTGTTTTGATAAAATTGCTTAGATGTGATTAGTACAGTATATGCTTTTCTTGTTTTGTCTGGTTCATTTTGTGTTTAAATGCTAAAAAAACATTTCGGTGTAATTTTTTGGGGCCGGGAACCAATTAATTGGTTTTCCATTATTTCTTATGGGGAAAATTCGATCAGAGCTCAAACTTTTTAGGATTCGATCTGGAGTTCTGAACGGATTAAGTTCAAGTTCTGAGGTACCACTGTACCTTTAAAATTCTGTATCAAAAATAATAGCAAAATATACCTGAAAAGCAGGAGCAACATTTAGTAAACATAGTTCTCCCATTTTGGATGTCTATTATTGCTGAATTACTTTTGCTCTAATCGGATTATTGTGCTGCGGCACGCATTCCATAGTCTGTCAGGCAAGCGGCGACATGACTAAGACAAGGGGCGGTTCCACTGCTATGCTTCCCAGTTATAATAATACTTGCAGTTTGCCGCTCTATTTGGTGTGATATTTGCACAACCCACTTATTTGTCATTACACATTAAATGTGTAACACAGAGTAGTGAAATCCGCACCCTTCAAAATGATTCACCACAATAACAGCTCCTACAAGGACAAGCTGTCTTACTTTTTTAAACATAACAGCTGATAGTTCCAGCTCTGGGCAACAGTGGTAACCTGGTAGAGTCAAACACTCAGAGTTTTCTAGGCCTCTTCCAATAAATTAGCTGCTACCATTTTCTTTGTACCATGGTTACATACCTTTGCACTATGGTTACATACCTTTCAGCTTTGGTCTTAAACATTCAGGCACCACACAAAAGGCACTGTGCAAATAAGTGCGGTAACCTTTGTCATTAACAGGAATTCCAGGTTTCGTCAGGCCCTTCGACCACTCCGACGATGGGCTTTGTGCTACTAACACAATGCAACATGAAACGTGGTAATACGGTGCTATATGACCCCGCTTGGATTCGAACTTCGCAGTGTGCTACAACCTGTTCAGATCTCAGCATCTGAAACATTGAGTCACGTCCTCTGTGTCTTTTCTGCCATGAACAAAATGTTTTTTTTTTTTTTTCTTTTTACAGAGTTAATCTCACATGATTTCCTCACACCTCAGCTGTGATGTAACACAAGTGTGTCCACAGACACACGGACGACCTACCGTTGTTTTACCTACATAATACTACAATCCAGTTTTCATTAAAGTAGTTAAAGAAAACTGCTGTACTACTGCAGTATCTCTAAGCATGACAGAAAATTGTCATTACCCTGAGTATAATATATCAGGCCACCCCCCAACTTGTCTGTTGTAGTACCTGCCACTGGTCTATCGGTTAAAACCAGGATTCCTTTAAGGAAGTGTGTTTGTACACAGTTTTTTTTTCCCCTCAAGGCAAAACGGGATGACCATGTCCTTTTTTCTGGGGCCCCCGCCTGCAGGGAGGTGTCACACCTCGTCACTACCCAAACTCAGACTCTCCTCTGGGTCATTCCCGCTGACTGGAGCCACGGGGGACGTCACATTCAAGTAGCCGATTTCGGAGGCAGGGGTGCCCGCAGCGGACATGGCACATGGGATGGCCTCCATCCGCGAGGCTGCTTTCACCATCTGGATGGCATCTAGAATCCCTAGTGTGTCGCACACTCCTGGCATGCTACAGAAGAAACAAAACCAGTTAACAGAAACTGGGAAGGACTTTGTTAGTCTTCTCAGAATATCAAATGTTAAACATCGAAAGTCATTTTCAAGAAATGTCTGCATATCTATAGTCTATGTATTTAGACCTTTTCATCTCCAAAATATATCCAGAAGGAAAAAAGTAACTTGCTTCCCAAGATATATCTATAAATAAACTCTTCCACAAACCTGTACCTTAGTTGAGAAGTGTCCAGAAAACTCCCCTGCAGACTTTCAGGAGGAAATATCTTCTTAATATCCTTGGAGCAGAAGTGAGTGGGGAAAACGAATGACAGATATTACATTTACATATTTACATAGCAGAGCTAGCTGCATAATTCATATATTTTCAAAGATCCATTCTGTAACATTTTGCAGCAAAATGTAACATTTACACCAAACAGCCATAACATTAAACCACCTGCCTAATATTGTGCATGTTCCTCCAACCATTCCTGAACATGGTGCATTATCCTGCTGAAAGAGGCCAACGCCGTCGGGGAATACTATTGAAGTGGAGTACCTAATCTACAACAATGTTTGGGTAGGTAGTATGTGTTAAAGTAACATCCACATGAATGCCAGGACCCAAGATTTCCCAGCAGATCATTGCCCAGAGCATCACACTGCCTCCGCCGGCTTGCCTTCTTCCCATAGTGCATCGTGGTGCCATCTTTTCCCCGGGTAAACGACGCACACGCAGCCAGCTGTCTACATGATGTAACAGAAAACATGACTCATCAGACCAGGCCACCGTCTTCCATTGCTCCATGGTCCAGTTCTGACGCTTGTGTGCCCGTTGTCAACATGTGGGTACGCAACAACGCAATGCACTGTGTCCTGACACCATTTTATCATGGCTAGCATTAACTTTTTCAGCAGTTTGGGCTACAGTACTTCTCCTGTAGGCACGAAGTACAGTACCAGAGTTCCATAGGCTCATTATCGACCGTGACAATTCTCGACCAACTTCCACAGTCCTTCAGCCTTACGTCTGAAGCTTCAAGTGAAAATGAACTTGAACAGGTAACACTGAACATGGAGAAATTGTTTCACAGCACTCTGGATCTTGTAGCTCCACTTAAGAAAATAAACCATAGAGATAAGAAACCTGCCCCCTGGTACTCTGATCATACATGTGAACTTAAACAGGCTTTGCAAAAGTTAGAGTGCAAATGGCGCTCAACTAAACTAGAAGTTCAGGTCTGCCTGGAAAGAGAGGCTCACTAAGTATAAACAAGCACTAATGACTGCGAGGTCTGTCTCTCTCTCCAGACTAATAGAAGAGAACAAAAACAATCCTAAATTCCTTTTTGAATTTAGGTTAACAAGTCCCACAAGTTCTTAGGAGTGATGACTTTATAACATTATTAATGGTAAAATAACTAAGATTAGACAGACCATCTGGAGCATGTCTGTAGGTATGTATGGCTACTAGTCTTCTGTTGGTCCTGTTAGTAGGGGTGTAACGATATACTCAGCCCACGAGATGGGAGGAGACATGATATTGGGTTCACAAGAATGAGACGAGACGATATTTTAACTATTTTAAGGAAAACTTCAAAGAGGAAATTTAAAAAGTAAAAATATTACTGGAAAGCAGCCTTTTATTTGATTAATTTGAAAGACAAAAAATGCTAAATAATGCAGATGTATGGTGAAATGGTTTGAGAAGTCACAGAAACCCCGGATTTTCTACTACAGAAAATGGTCTCATGTCTGCTGCAATGAAAACGCCAATATCCTTCGTTATTACCGTGGCTCTAGCACTTGACTGTGAAAGCTAGAGTGCAAACACATTTGTAAGTGTTGTCTGGCATGTTAATGTTTTCTTCACTGATGCAGTGGATTTAAAGAGCTATAATGGTGTTGCAAATGGCTTTGCATAATAGTAGCGTTAGCCGCTGTGTACGGCATTATTTTCCTACAATGTTTACAGATGGTTCGTGTTTTGCCTGTCACCCTTTCACCGTTTATTTTTCCACCGGGTACCCAAAATGCTGCCACCCAAAAGATTTAAAAGTATCTGGGGCATCTACTATGGTAATTTCATCAGCTGCTGACAAGCTTACAGCGGCTGATTTGCAGCACCTTCGCAAGACCGCTTTTCACTTAGAGGAGAAATCTTGTCATGTTGTAATATCGCGAGATCTCATGACACTCCTACCTGTTAGAACTGATAATGACACCTTTGAATCTCTCTCCTGTAAAACAAATAGAACTTTTGAATTTTCTCCTGCAAATGCAAATCTTCTACTAGCCTTGTAGACCCAACTCCCATGAAACTTCTTAAAGAGACACCATGATTAGCAGTACCCTATTAAATTTGTTAAACTAGTCTCTTAGGCTTGGATATGTTCCAAAAGTTATTAGACCTGTTCTCAAAAAACCAAATCTTGAACCTAGCGATTTAGGAAATTATAGTCCTCAAATTATAGATCTCGAATTTTCATTTCAAAAGTCCTGGAAAGTGTTGTTCTTCATTCCTACAGAAAAATTATGCTAATGAATTATATGTCTGATTTTAAACCAAAACATAGCACAGAAACAGCTTTAATCAAAGTGATGATTTGCTTATGAATGATTGTTATCAGTTTGTCCATGTGGACAATATATCCTCCAAGGCCGCCAAAGTCAAATAAGGTGTCCCACAGGGATCAGTATTGGGCCCATTACTCTTCACTTTATATATGCTACCACCACTTGGTAACATCATTAGAAATCATTGATATGCTGATGATACACCAGATGATTAAACCAGATGATGCACCTCAGTTGTCTGACTTAGATGACTGCCTACTAGATCCGGTGTTGGATGGCATCTTGTTCATTTGACTTCCTGGCCCTGAAGGATGGGCTCCCCCTCTGAGTCTGGGTTCCTCCCAATGTTTCTTCATTCTAGGAAGTTTTTCCTTGCCACTGTCCCCTCTGGCCTCTCAATGGGGGCTTGGGGCAGGGACAGTGTGAAGACAACGTAATGTTGTGAAAATCTGCTATACAAATCAAATTGAATTGAATTGTATAGGACCAGACAGACTATACTTCACTCCCCACACACATCAGTGAGCCTTGGGCACCCATGACCCCATCGCTGGTTCACCAGTTGGCCTCCCATGGACCACTTTTGGTAGGTACTGACCACAAGACCTGTTGTTTCGGAGATGCTCTGAACCAGTCATCTAGCCATCATAATTTAACCCTAGTCAAAGTCGCTGAGATCCTTATGCTTGCCCATTTTTCCTGCTTTCAACACATCAACTCCAAGAACTGACTGTTCACTTGCCTAATATATAATGAGACCATTCACAGGTGCCACTGTAATGAGAAAATCAACGTTATTCACTTCAGCTGTCAGTGGTTTTAATGTTACTGCTGATGAGTGTATATGTCCATAACATTCCCTAGGACAACATTTGTATTTGCTGACCTCTGCACATGTGGTGCTAAACTATGGAAGGCAGAGGTCTCACACTACCAGCCTGCAAAATGGTTTTATATGGCATATTCTTAGATTCAAATACTGCAAATACACCAATTTCTGTAAATTTTGTATTAGCTTCATACGTAGATGTGCATTTTGAATATCATCATATACAGTATATAGCAAAACATTTCTAAAAGAAAAATTAAAAACATAGTAGTGATGTGGTAATGGTTTAGAAAGTTCTTGAGTCCATGTCATAAACACTTCCATACCTCTGCATTGTAGGATGACTGGACTTTCTTTAGGGTTCGTTCCAGTGCCCCCACTTGGCTGAACAGCATAAGCACTCTTTCCTGAAGTTGCTTGTTCTCAGTTTCCATGAAATTCATTCTGTCCAGAAAAAAAAAGGTGACCCCAAAGGTTTCAACCCAATCCTCACGTTTTTGCTCCCTCCCAGCTCCCTCCCAGACAATCCACATTTTTGTTCCCTCTTGCCAGGAGCTAGGATTGGGTAAAAATGTGAACCGGGTTGAGAAGTACTGCCCTACAGCTCGTGTGCAGCAGAATGCCTTGTGAGGCTGTACTGAAGCACTTTTTGCAACATTTCCTTCTTTATTTACTATGTCAGCAACATCGCATTGATGACACGGCACATTCCAACAATGCAGCTATTCTAGCACAGATGTCGGTTAAGGAAAGCCTGGGGAAACTGCGGTTACATAAAAGTAATCCAGGACAGCAGTTATGAAAGCTGCAAGGCCACTAATTGACACAGAGTGCCTTGCACGATGATGAAATCAAAATGCAATTTAGCCAATGAGACTGCAAACAGCAAAGATCAACGACCGCTGTGCTCAAATGCTAAACTGGAGCTCACCAGTTGGTGTCATTAGAGCAGGGCTGTCAAACTTCAGTCCTGGGGGGCAGAAGCCCTGCACGTTGTTGGGTTTCCCTTTATAAAAAACACTTGATTCGACTCCTTGTGCTATTTAGCATATGCCTCTTGAGCTGAAGCATTTGTGGTGGAACAGGGAAAGAACTAAGCTACACAGGGCTCCGCCCCTCAGGGATGGAGTTTGACACACCTAAATTAGAGCATTCCAGTAAAGACAGTGAGCGATATGGGTTTGAGCAGAGCAAAGAAAGACCACAGGAAAGAAAATGCATCCCTCAGTGCTTCCAAGAAGCAGCTTCAGGCTCATCTCTATGGGGAATATCACTGTGAAGTGAAGTGGTGTTCCTGGCACTGCTTTGTTGAACGGTAAACATAAATACAATCCATCCATCCATCTTCCATAACTGCTTAACCTATCCAGGGTCGCGGGGGGTCCAGAGCCTATCCTTAAGACTGTGGGCGCAAGGCAGGGAACAACCCAGGGTGAGGCGCCAACCTATCACAAGGCACACTCACACCATTCAGTCACACCTACGGGCAATTTGGTAACTCCAATTAACCTCAGCATGTTTTTGAATTGTCGGGGAAACCAGAGTTCCCAAAGGAAAACCCCACAATGACATGGGGAGAACATGCAAATTCCACACACACGGAACAGACTTGAACCCAGGTCCCAGAGGTGTGAGGCAACAGTGCTAACCACTGCACCCCCATGCCGCCCCCCCATAAATACAACATAAATGAAGTGCAGAATACGAAAGGCCGCACCTCTGCAGTGCGCTGGAGGCACTGCGTTTGCTGTTGCTGCTTATCTCTTCTGCCTCATTCAGCCTCTTCAGCAGGTCCCTCACCTGCAGCAGAAGGTTCTCATTCTCCTCCATCACCTTCTTCACGCAGTCCCGCTCCTGGCCACCGGGGGGGGGGGGGGGGACGACACACACACCGAGCCCCACCCTGGTCAGAGGCGGACGCCGTACAGGAGCTTTCCATCCCCCAAGTGTCTGCCGAGGCGCACCCACCTTTTCAGACAGGCTCTGGGCCAGGGCCAGGTCATTCTCCAGCTGCTGGACACGGATGTCCAGCAGCGCTGCTTCCTTCCGGAAGGCCTGTTTGGCTCTGTGCAGCTTCACTTTATCCTGTGACCGCTTCTCATTGTACTTCCTGGGAGCGGCGGACAAGACGACATGCTGCGTGGATGGCGGTTCAAGAGGAGGAGGAGGGCCTGACGAAGGGGCGCCTGGCTTTACCTGATCTGGCCGTCAAGCTGCTGAAGCACCAGCTGTAGCTCCTCCTTGAGTCTCTCAGCCTCCTGCTGGCTGGAGGTCAGCTGGTCCTGAAGCTTGCGGCAGGCAGACTGGCTGAGCCGCAGCTGCAGAGCAAGATGATGTTAAAATCGGGGGATGAAAAGCGTCACCCCCGCTAAACAGCATCCACATGTTCCTCGTCCAGTAACCATACTGACGGGACCGTCTCGGTAAAACAGGCTAGGCTACATGCCAACCAGGGGTGTGTGCTGAACAGGATGCTGACACAATTTCAAGGAGGATTCACACCAGTTACAGTATTTCAATATTTGGCTACGTGCCTGACTTTGCTGGCTGGGTAAAAAGGCAAATTTAATATCTCAGCTGCATCTGTACTTGACATCTGCAATATGTCATTTGTTCATTGTCTCCCAACTATGGTGCCACAACACAAAAGTACTGACAGTTATCGTCTTAGGCTGTGAATGTGCTTCCATGTCACAGACAACATGCTGCTCCCCATCTGCTATCAGACGCTGACCCTGTTTTCTCAATTTCTGGATAAATGCATCTGCTAGCTAAAAAAAATAAAAAACACATGCAATGTAAATGCAGGCTGGGTCTCCTGTACTTTTGCTCTCTATCGTGGTCGTCCGCCATTTCCCTAGGGAAAGTGCCCTGCCTCACTGGGTCAGGACAAGAAGGTGATACAATGAACTGCGTCAGGGCTCCGGGCTTGTAGGTTCACCTCCTCCGAGGAGGTGCTGTGCTCTCCCTCCAGGACCCCCAGGCGGCTCTCCATCTGCTGCAGGCGGCAGCCCAGCTCCACGTTGGCACAGCTAAAGGCGGCCTCAGTGGCACGCAGCGTGCGGATGTTTTCCTGCAGCTCACGTCCCCTCTGCTCCAGCACCTTCCTGTTGGTACCAGAGGACATGGCAGCGGTGGGCAGAGTACAAACACCAGCATGGCCAAGTGCCATGAAAACAGACCTTCAGGATACACTCAACAGGAAGGAACATAACAAAAAGGGGGATGGGCAGAAACGAGGAATGAAGGAAGGGAAGAAGGATCATTCAAAAGTGCCGACTGGTAGCAACATGTGGACGGTCGTAATGTCAAACCACCGTCGGTCTGTTAAGTATACGATAGGAATCCCGTATCTGGTTTTCTGCCAACAAAAAAAAAACGAGAGGAAATTCCAGAAAACCAGTTTATAAGTTTCTAACTGCACGCCAAGCGGGTACAGGCTGGCTGCCCAGTCACGTCCAGTACATGACGCATCTCTCTTTATCTCTGTAGCCATGCTTCCTCCCAGAGCTGTCATCCTGCCTGCCCCCAGCTCGCATTCCTCGCTGCGTTATCGCTCTCAGTCTTAATGATTTTCATTGGACCAACATCCCTTGATATACATGATATATATGTTTCTTCATTACTCTGTTTGAGAATTAGGTTAAAACATCAGAATGCCTTTCATTTGAGAGTACAGTATTGTACAATACTACATAATTGAGAGTACAGTATTGTACAGTACTGCATAATGTACAAAGTACTTTATTATTACTGTATTTAATATCGGTAATGACTTACGGTGCATAATTTAACAATTGAGCTTTACCACATAGTTACAGGAATATCACGTTATACACGAGGTGTGCAGATGGTTGCCTATTATCCACGGTTTCAGCTATCTGCGGTAGGTCTTGGAACGTACCACCTGTGGATACGGGGAGAACTACTGTAACAACTGTATGATATGCTCCTGTCCTAAAACACCACATAGAACATTTGCACAGGGCCAGAGACACATGGTGGTCCTGTTCCTTCCAGACCCACCTCTGCAGCTGCTCCTCGTGCAGTTTGGCCCTCAGCTGGGTCAGGGTGTCCGACATCTCCCTGCTGCGCCTCTCCAGCTGGCAGGCCTCTGCTGAGCGGGCCTCCCCCAGCCTGAGCTGATGCAGGCTGTTCTTCAGCTGCTGCTGGAGCTCCAGAACCTGCAAACAAGAGCAGCACCTGACAACTTTAAGGTGCAACATAAAACAGTTCATTTGACAATCTGCACCTGGGGCAAATGAATTGTTTCAGATCCTGACACTGTTCAATGCAAGTCAGCACAGCAATTCATATTTTTGGGTCCAATGGCATGATAACCATGTAACTCAAGCCAGCAAGTGTAACCAATGTGCTACCTGATCTCTTTTTTTGCATAAACTAGTTTGGGCTTGGTTTTCTACTTCTTTGTAAGCTTGTTTGTTTATGACGACACCTATGACACTACCTTTTTGTCAGCAGAGTTGAGACGCGCCCGCTCGGCCTTCAGCTCCTCCTGCAGACTGGTGTGAGTCTGCTGGTCCTGACTGTTCCGGATCACCTCCAACTCGAGCTCGCGGGCCCTCTGCTGAAGCCTCTCTACCTCAGCTGTCTGGGTGGCCGCGTTCCGCTCCATCTGGATTCCCTTGTCTTGGGCGTGCTTCAGCTCAGCGCACAGCTGTAGGGGGCACACGCGGGGGTGGGTCACACTGCTGCCACAGTTGGTGGGCAGGACCGGTCGATTTGGTTAGGGATTGCAAAATATGCTGAAGGCGAGGTTTTCCAACCAAGTACACTTATTTTCCCATCCATCCATAACTGCTTAGCCAATAGAAGTGAACATGCTTGAGAAGCATGAATTACACAGAACATGTTCAGCCAAACACCAACAGATTAAGCATTATGGGGATGTAGAAGCTCCTGGCTTCATGCAGGTCCACATTAACACATGAGGAGCACAGAGCACCTTGATCTTCTCTTGGTCCAAGAGCGCATTGTGCCTCTTGAGATCCAGGTTCTTCTCCCTCTCATAGCGCAGCTCACGCTCAGCAGAGCTGAAGAGGCACTGGGCCCGCTGAAAGTCTTGCCGCAGCTGCCGGATCTCTTCTGTCTTCTGCTGAAGCGAGGTCTCCTGGGACTTCAGGGGTAAAGGGAACGTCACCGATGGGAGGCCGGAGGAGGTAACTGGCCCCTTTGACTCTGGAAGCAGCAGGTGACTGCTCACCTTAGCTTTGGCTTGTGACTCGGTGACCTGGGCCAGGAGGGCCAGCTGGTGCTGACTGGCCAGCAGCCTCTCCTCCTCCAGGGTGGACTGCAAGCAGCTGATCTGGACCCTCAGAGACACCAGCTGATTGAAGGAATAGGCAGCAGAGCTGCTGAGGTGGAGTTTTTTTCCCAAGCTAATCATTCTCCAATCAACAAGGTAGCATGTTCTTAAAATGCTATGAGCATACAGAATACACAGCTTCCCTAAACAGACAAAAGTCTTTATGCCCAGAAATTCATTCTGCGAAACTTAGATTTACAAAATTTTGAAATACACATTGCTTTGGCCAGACACATACTTGGTTGTCACTGTCATCCAAGCGTATGTCTGCAACAGGGGCGTGGCTTAGTGTGGGCTCCGCCTCTGACTCCACCTCTGACTCCGCCCCTACAACCAGCTGCTGCTCCTCAACTGTGGGGTTCAGCTGACCACTCAGCTCCACCACAAAGCTCTGCTCCTTCGCCAGCTCCTCCCTGTATGCGAAGGTTCATTTACGATAATGAAAACTTTCACTTAAATAAATACGAAATAAATCCAACATGAAATGGAACAAACAATAAATTTTACTCAAATGATATAGGGTGGGAGGTTTGGAATAGCCTTTCCAGTAGGATTCATGATATTTTAATTTAGTTAACACTACATTAATCAAACACCTGATATGCAGAGGTGGAAGATTCAGGTCCATAAAATAACACTCTAGAAGAAGAACCTTTAACAGTCTGACATCATAAAGCTTCACCCATATTTGGATTTAGAGCAGCTGAATAAAAGAATTTTCCAAGCAAACACTGGCAGTTGACGGTTCTGATACAGGGCAATGCCACAGGAAAATAACAATAAAAAGTGGCATTCTTCTTTATGTTGACGTCTGCCATATTCAGCAAAGTGGCAATTACGCAAGGCTTTGCTCTTCATTTTGAAATATCCCCTTTAAATGTTTATTCCTGTACATCTAAAATGAAACTTAATGTCTGCTGTTGAGAGTTAAATGAAAGCCATGGCAGAAGAGAGACAGGCAGTATCCACCTTAAGTAGTCAGCCTTAAGCGTCACCATTTCCTTGAAAGCGACCTTCTCAGCCTCGACTTGCGTAAAGCTCCCGCTCAGACGCTCGGCCCCCTCTCGTGATGCCTTCAGGATGCCCGGATCTTTCTGGAGCTCCTGCAGGCACAGAGGAAGACACCAGACAATGGAGTGGGAAAGACGAAGCGTGAACCTTCACCCTCAGCGCCACTCTCAGGTATTTGTTTACATATTAATTCCCATGGAGTGTCTCCACGTGGTAGTGATAGACAAAATGATGCTTCATGAACCATTTACTGTATTTTCGGACCCCACTAGATGCTGTGCTCTCTTTTGAAAATAGGACACAAAGTTTGCCCCAAAGCAACCCAAGAGCACCACCTACTGGGGTCAAAGAGTACAGGAAATGGTTCAGGAAGCGTCATATTGTCCATCACTAGCACACGGCGCTCATTTCTTGCTCGGTGGTACCTCTTTGGTCCTCTTCAGAGCTTCCTGTGCCCTCGCCAGGTCCAGCTCCAGCTGTTTGCTCCATTTCTTTTCCTCCACCAGATGACTCTGCAGCAACTCCACTTTCTCCTGTGTTGGACAAGCAATAACATTTAAAGGGGCAGCTCACCCTAAAACTGAAAAAACTTAAATATGTGTTTTAGGGGGGATTTTATGCTATCTATCCATGTAGGTTGATCTGCTGGAAGTTGCCTACACAAACTACTTCCATCTCTTTTCCCCGCACTTCTGTGTAACTTCCCAGTTGGCGCCCGTACTTGCAGTCAACCAATTAGCAAAATTTATCATTATAAGCCCCACCCAATAGTTCCTGGTTGAGTGAAATGTACCTACTCCAGAGTAGGGACTAAAAAAGGTTCAGGAACAACCTCCCAGGAACTATAATAGGACCAACTTCCTGCGGTGGGAACATGACAGAAGGTCTTGGTTCCTGAAAAAGTTCCTGTTTTGTGAAAAAAGTTCCTGTGGTGAAAATAGGCCGAGTGAGGCTATCAATTCATTCAGCCTTTAAAGAAATCAGACTTTTTAAGAAAAACTGCATAAAATTAGCATAATATACAATAATCAAATAAGTTCCAGGTCAGGGGTGTCTCTGGTTGGTGTCATCAGTACAGTCTTAGGGAACAAGAGGGGTACTGAGAAGCTTCACCACTCTGGTAACCTTTGGATCACTGAAGGCCTCTTGTGGCTCACCTGTAAGAGGCAAACTTCCGATTCCTGGCCAGAATTCCCATTTTTCTCTGGAGACTCTGTGGAAGCTGCCTGAGCCAGCTGGACCTCCAGACAATTGATCTGCAGGGAGCAGGCTGTATTTCTTAATCGATGTCAGTGCTACACAAACGCTCATTTGGGGCTCAAACTGTATTTGCACACATGGGCTTGGACTGAACATGTCACCTGGCTGTCACCAGTGTTGTGCCGGAAGCTCACCTTTAGACAATAAGGGACTTAATGCTTAAAATGAGTGAATCTTAATCTACACATTAATGCAATGACTGTTAGCATTCTAATAGTATCTCATAGTAATTAACTGGACAGTCAATTAATCATCACATCCAGGAAAATTCTAGTCTTTTCCACAGGGTGGCGCTCTCTCCTGGGGCCCCACCCACCTTCTTGTGAAGCCCCTCAGCCTCGCACTCATGCCGCTCGTGCTCCGCCTTGCTCTGGTTCTGAGCCTCGCCCAACAGCGCCTCCAGCTCCTCATTTCTCTCCACCAGCTCCTCCTGCTCATCAAGCTGCTTCTGCAGGCGTCGCTGCAGCTCACGCAGCTGGCAGTTCTTGTCCTCCAGCTCCCGAAGGCATCTGCGCAGACGCAGCCAGCAGTCGAGTCAAACCACCTGCGCCTTGCTGCTGACAGGCCGCTTCAGCAAAGCTAACCTTAATACTGTCAGTTAATTAACACCAGAAGCAGAACAGCAAGACAACTACTGAAATTAACTAGTAACTAAGACCCGGTTCACACTGCCAACGACATTATTCAATTCCGATTTATTGCTCAGGTCGGATTTGTCTATCTTGACGGTTCACATTCATAACTAGAAGTGACCTGTATCTGACTGTAATGTGAATGCATCGGTCCTCCAAAACGTCACGCATGCGCACATTGATATTGTTTTACACGGGTCAACTGCATCACCAACAACAAAAAACCTCATATCTGTTGGACGACTCATGGCACTAAAAATGGAGGCGTTAGTAGCTCCTGCATGTATCGCATTTTGCTCTGGAGGACGACAAACAGTGAATCAGCTGTACATGAGCAGGTCGAAAAGGAGAAAAAAATCAGGCGGCTAGCTTTTTCTGTTATCTCAGCTCTCCTCCATTTTTACCTTCCCGCGCTCCCAGTGCAGGCTGTTGATGTCAGCGCATGCGTACAAGCAAAAAGCCGCATGAATTCCGATCTGAGCGTTCACATTCAGGTCGCATGGCCGGGAATCGGATACGTATGAGTTTTAGTGCCACATATGAAAAGTGACACATATCTGATTTGAAAAGATCAGATTTGCGTGTCCACACAGCCCTGAAAAGATCAGATCTGTGTCACATTAAGGCAAAAAATCCGATTTGAGTAACTTCAGCATGGCAGTGTGAACGTAACCTAAGTGGGTGCTGAAGGGTAACCCAGCTGGTTGAATAGGATCTGCACGTGACTTGAATTTTACCCATTTATACAGATGGATATTTTAACATAAGCAGTTCAACTCAAGTGCCTTGCCTAATAGTAAAACAGCAAAGGCCTTCCTGTCATCTGAACTGACAGCCGATACTGCCATACAATGGCAAAATACTGTAACTGCATCCATTACCAAAACTCGGTTAGGACCGAAAACAGATCTCTTAGGCTCAGTTTTATCTCATGACAAAATATTTTAGCATTTTGGCATGCGTTGTGGCATGCGTTGTGCCCTTTTTGAACAGAGACTACCTACTACACATGTGGGTGGACAGTCAAAAAAAAATAAATCTTTGAAGCCATTTTTCTCAGTTTTGGTGCCAGGCGTAGTCACTGTGTTTTGCCTTTGTGGGGCAGTACAGGTCACCCTGTCTGTATTTGCTAGGCTTCTGTCCTGGACAAAGATCGGCACAAAAGATACCTTTTATGGAGAAGCTTCTCATCCACAGCTAACGGGGTTGTCCCGGGCACAGTGGGTGGGTTGGCTGAGCCCACGGCACTCTCCCCCTGATGAAGGGGGAGGGGGGGAGAGATTCAATGATGAGGTGTGGTGTGAGAGGCAGGGGGCATCGCGCTGACAGGCTGCCCAGACCCACCTGACACAGGCCGGCCACTGGCTCCTCTCTTGCTGCTTTCTTTGGGTCGTCAATGATGTTCTCAACCTACACGTGGATGGATTACAGTAACTTCTACCAACAGTATAACCAGTGTAGCACCTAACCCACGAATCAACTTTCAGTTGGGGAGCAAGACTGCCTTTCATGTGGTGTGACATGTTTGGCGCTCGAAGCAGACGTGACCTAGTTCACAATACATTCTGCCAAGCTGGGGTAGGCCTCCCAAACACCCGATGGTGCACCCCACACTAGTCCACTGGGACAAAGCCCATTATGTCTCATGGCAAGCCTAGGTCTGGTTTGAAAGTCATCAGGGTTAAATAGATCCAGCAATCCACCAAATAACCATGATATATAGAGATACCACTGATACACATCTACAGTTACATTAGTTTCAGGATAGGATTCAGCTGCTTACCTAGTGCTTTTAATCCAAAAAGCTTGTCGATTTTCACAGCTGAACATTTCATGAGTTATTAGGCTGCGTAAGCAGACCAAGACGACCAGGCCATCCTTCCAATTTTAAGTCCATTACCCTCCTCACACACACATACGCTGATAGGTGATTTTACTGAGGGTGCAATTGCGCCCTCTATTGGGCAGAGGAAAATGCTACTTGAACATCAATAAAATACATTGCAAAGTTATACCTGTATTTGAAAATGTGGCTTATGTTAGTCACATCAATGTGTAATAATAATTTATTGTAAATATGATTTTTTTTTAACATTTACCTACATGAACCGATGGGGTGGTAGCCTCGCTACAGTGCTCTCACGTACTTTTACTATTTTTGTGTATTTCTTTAATTTACAGCTCTTTCTCCCTGATCACATACAGCAGAGAGGATGTTTTACACATCCGACAATCCACTTGTCAAACTTTTTCACCGGCTTTCAACCTGAGAGTTTTGCAGAGCTCCTCGTCGGAGCAGCAGCAGCCCTCTACGGAACTATAAGGAGACGCCGGCGAGGGACGCAGGCCAGAGTCCTCGTTAAACTGCGTCAGCGGGGATTTCGGACTGCACTCCCTTAAAGACACCTGGCCAATGTCCGATTGCTGGCCGATAAGATGGATGAACTGCTGCTTCTCAACGGAACAAACACGGACCTTTCCAGGTCTGCCACCCTGGAACCTGTACTGCAGAGCATATGGCAGATAGCTCACCATACCTGCCGAACTTCCAAATCATCCGAATGGACCGAGTCATGGAGCGAGAGGAGACGGAATCTGATTCTATATAAACAGAAGTTGGTGTACAGACATCATAGTGTTAAACAAATTATGCATCCCTCACTCAGAGACCTTTTTTTTATTAACTAAACCGTTTTATTCACAGCCAGTTTTTTCCTTGTTTATTCTGATCATTGTTTACATCCCACATCAAACCCGTGTTAGTGAGGCACTGCAACACCTGGCTGACCAGATGACGAACACAGAGCACAAACTCCCCTGCTTCCAGGGGACTTTAACAGGGCAAACCTCAGCCAAGAACTGAAAAAAATACAGAGAGCACATGAAGTGTCCTACCAGGGACAAAAGCACACTGCATCACTGCTACAGCACTGCAAAGAGTTGGAGAGTCCCCCGCAGTACTTTGGGACTCTCCAACCACTGTAGGTACCCCTCTCCTACTTAGAAGCAGAAGCTAAAATCTGCACAGCTGGTGGTAATGACAGTGAGGAGATGGACCAAAGAGGCTAAGCTGGAACTAAAGGGCTGCTTCGACTGCACTGACTGGAATGTTTTTGATGCTGCAGCTGCAGACCTCCACGGTCTCACTGACACGGTGACATCTTAGATCAGCTTTTGTGCGGACATTTGGTTCGGCCACCAAACAGGACAGGAAGAGACAATGGACAGTCAGAACTGCAGAAAAATCAGTGCGGACCTGCCCTCCATTCAGGACTTCTACATAGCCAGAGTCAGGAAACGGGCAGGCAAAATCACTGCAGATCACACCCTGGTCACAACTTGTTCACACTCCTCCCCTCCAGCAAGCGCTACAGAGCACTGTACAGCAAAACAGCCACACACATGAACAGATTCCTTCCAAAGGCCGTCACTCTGATGGACACTTAAGTGTCAAAGACAATACTTGTGCAATAATCTGCTATAACAAAGCATCCACTTTGGAGCAGAAAGGAGCACTATGCACCTTTGCACTATGGTCCTCTGGCTTTACATACTGTATTTAATTGTTTCTTTTTTGTAGTTCCGTTTTTTTGCTGTATGTCTGTCCTGTTTAAGTACACAGAGCAACGAAAAACCAGAGACAGATTCCTTGTATGTGTAAACATAATTGGCCAATAAAGCTGATTCTGACTGGTTGGGCTCACTCACTGTGGAAGATTCTCTCACCCCTGGGAGAAGAAACCTAGAGTATATATCTATGTGTCTGTCCCTCGCCTTGTAAGCCGGACTACATACCATATCGAAAAGAATGTTTTTCTCGGAGTCCAGAGTGCGCATCCTCATCGCCAAGGCCCTGTTCTCCAGCTGCAGTCTCTCGTTCTGCTCCTTGACCTTCACCAGCTCTGTGTCACCAGAGGGGCGGGGCATCGGTGCTGAGCTGAAAGCATGCAGCATTCTGGGGGGGGGTTGGACCCGATGGATTTGGCCGAGACGCCAGCATTACTCACCACTCTCTCTCAGCTGCTCCAGCTCCTGCTGAAGTTTCTCTGCTTCACGGGAGGCCCACAGAAGCTCGGGTTCTGGGGGGGGGGGAATGGGGCAGTTTTATTTACTGATACAGTGCGGCTTAGGTACGGGACAGGAGACCGCGGCCTGCGGGGAGAGCTCACCTTGCTGGTCCTGCGTCTTCCTGGCGGAATCCAGCTCGTCGGTGAGCCGTCGGATCTCCTGGTGTGCCATGGCCAGCCTGCGGGACGCCTCGTCCAGGTCTCGCCGCAGCCGTCGCAGCTCAGAGCGCTCGCCTTCCCGCAGGACCTCGGTCCCAGCCTACGGGGCGGGGGCAGGAAAGCAGCTGCGGGTGACGGTCAGACCGGGAGCAAAGGAGGCCCAGCGACAGCTGAGAAGCAGGTGGCGGGCCCGTCTGATGGAACGTGAGCGGCGCCTCGGACAACCGATGTGGGGGAAGCATGCATGGAACTGCAGCACCGAGGAACTAAGGAGGCCGTCCTTGGTCTGCGGGGACACTCCCACCCTCATATGCATCAGAACAGCGGCGCCCCAAGCTTGACACATGATGTGATCATCTGGCATCCTCTACATATGCTGGCATACTATGGGAGTGACCTACATTCCCCCAGCAGGGGTCGGAACTCCCCCTGAAACTCCCCCTGAAGCAGCATGCCCGAGAAAGGTGGGGGTTCCACAGGCACCATCCACTGGGCGTTTCTCAATACCCGTACTTCACCGTACTTATGTTATCGTGAACCCATTTTACGTCATCTTCCATTGCCGAAGACCAGTTCCAATACTCAAGAACAGTTCTAGATGTACAGAGGAAGGTAAAAATCCCCGGATGTCATTCTTGCCTCGCCCCAAAAATCAAGGATACATCGGTTGCATCCTCTCCAAATGAGACCAATCCCATGATTCACTGCACCCCAAGTTCGTTAAACTGTGCCAGCGGGGAAGCAAGTTAGCAAGACCACTGTTGCCAAGACGACCAGTATGATCTTTGCATTCTTGCTATTGAGGAACACCCCCTGTTTCCATAGTGTGAAAGGGGTCAATACGACACATTGGCTGGCATGTCAAGCCGAGCTTCACTGTTAAAGGATCGCTCATCGTCACGAGACAAACCTCACATAATCTGTCAGATTTTGGGCAAATGTTTCTTTGGGGGGAAGGGCGTGGTAATGATAAATGTAAAAACTGACAGTCACACTCACCAAACCCAATACTTTACCACTGCTAAACTAGTCCTAGTTATAAATAAAACAAAATACTAAAGACAATATTGCTGCTTTGGTGGCGCAACAGGTAAAAAATTTGTAGGAGGCAAAAACATTTTGTTCTTTTTGCATATTGACCAGAATACAAAGAAATTCAACTGGAGATAGAACATTGTAAGAGTTTGCCTCATTGCAAGAGTGTAGTTTCTAGCTGCCATCATTACTCTCCTTCTGTGAGTGACGTGCTCGCAGCCTCAGATATAATGTCCCCAGCGCGAGGCGGCAGGAGGAACATGCATGTTGGCCTTGAGGGGAAACGGTTATCAGCACAACAGATCACATGCTTTAAAGGTGTCGACACACAGGGCGACTTTCTGAGCAATGCTGCTGACCAACGTTGCTGGGGAACTTTCACATTGATATCGGACAACAAAGTTCTATTTGAAAAACTTTGATCATCCAGATCCAGATAAGTTGCCCTTTGTCCCACCTGGTTGGCAATTGTCCGGCAATATTGCTCAAAAAGTTGCCCCGTGTATCGCCACCTTAAGGGTGGAAGCTTCAGAAAAATCCCAGCATGCCGTGTTGTCTTCCACACACCCATGCAGAGGGGGTTGTATAGTGAATGCGATCAGTTGGGGGGGGCGGGTCAGGGGACAGACATACGGAGGCACGCATTTTTGGGCCTTTGGAAGTCTTGCGAACTCCAAAGAGCTTCTTCCAGGGATTCTGGTCCGAGGGCAGCTTCTCCTTGTGGGGAAAACAACGTGGACAGGATCACACCACCAGGCTCAACACCACGGCACTGGCAGCAGCCCTGGCAGTGCGGACCACCCCCAGGGCAGGACAGACCTGGGACAGAACCTCCTCACCTTACTCTCACTGTGCTTGGCGTCCTGGGAGGGTCCCTGCTGCTTCAGCTGCTTCTCCGAGAGCTGAAATGCACACGCAGGTCCACCAACATCAGATCAACAGGTCAGGAGACCAGGCTAATTTATTGGTTTTAAACAAAAGTAAAAATTATACAAAAACTGATTGCTCGATGTTCTGCTACTCAGCGAATGATGGACATTCATTTAAAGAACCCCAGAAAACTTGCCTGGCAGCCAGGAGTGTCTGGAGGCCGGGGTGGTGCCTGTAGGGGTACCTCCTGCAGGCTGTCAGGGAGGCTCACGTCATCCAGCTTCCGCTCGCAGGCTTCCAGCTTCTCCAGCAGTGTGGCTCTCTCCACCAGTAGGTACGCCACCTGCTCGCTAGGGCTACTGTGGCTGATCTCAGCCAGGCCCTCCTGCTCCAGCATCTCCGCCAACTCCTTCAGCTGGATGTCTGCAAGTGGAGCGCTGTCACTTATTACTCGGGACCAGAGACGTGCTCTCGTGATGAGCGGCGCCACCTGCAGGGGGGGCAAACCCACTGCGACGCACACCGGCGGCGGCGCTCACCCTGCTGGACCACAACCTCCCGTAAATGGGCGCGGAGCTGCTCATTCTCCTGCTCGTAGACGGCAGCCAGCGACTCCCGGTCATCCAGCATGTTCCGGATGTGTTCCACATAGTTCTCCACCTGTGAGGAGACGCAGCCGTCAAACCCCAGACTCTCTTTTGGTTCCCAGTGCATTTACCTTTCAGCTAGAACAAGCTACGAATTTCTATATACTGGGAAAAAATCATTTTAAGATTTCATTTTTCAGACATCAAAAAGACACCAAATTTTCTCTTCTAATCGCTAACCTTAAACCAGCCCTAAAGCCTCTCGCATCATCTCGCTCTACTTCAGTTTTCGCAAAACCCGCACGGATCGGCACCTCCTCCATCTCGTCAGCCCTCTGTGCCTGTAGGCTCTGTAATTCCCCGACAGAGAACAGCCGGTTCTCCTCGCTGCGCTGGAGGACCCTCCACAGGTGGCGCTGGCGTTCCTCTGCGGACGCCTCAGCAGACAGTCCATCCTCCTGCAGGCACCGATTGATCTCGTCCATTTCTTTTTCCTCCTGAGCAAATAGACACTCTGACTAAAATTTTGCAAGATTCAAATCCCTTGGCAAACTTCTTGCTAGAAATCTGATGTGAAAGTTCCAGGAATTGTATCAGCACTACATAAAGAGAGAAAAAGGTTCCAGATCAGATCTTTGCTCTAATGCTCCAGGGGCTGGATGGGTCCTCCTTACCTTACTTCTGCTCTCCTCAGTGTCCTGCGGGTTCCCCTCTGGCACCTCTGGAACACGGCAGCCATGATGCACCCCCTCCTAAATGGGAGGGGTACCATTAATCCACTTAATACTTTTTAAAAGAAATTCCAGGCATTACACGTATTCTACCTTAAAGTCGAACACCACCTACAGTACAATATACATTAAATTCATTTTCCAGCAGACACCACCACACATGACATATATAATGCATCTCATTTCAGGATCAGGTCCGTCCTAAACACACTGCAGCTTGGTGTGACTTTGGTGCATTTTCTGCGAGTAACGATTAAGCAGGACTACTTCCCAGATTGTAATATGACAGTCAGTCAGCCTGAGCTGCTGCTACCCCACATCTTCCACATGGCGGGAGAGGATCCTCTCCTTTTGCGAGAACCCAGACAGCACCTCTCCACTTTGCTCCATTCCTCCACATCCTGAGAATCCCACACCAGCACCCCTGTCACACAGCAGCTGAGAGGCCTCCTCTCAAAGGGGAGGGGCCATGGGGGAGGGGCAGTTTAGCATGTACTCTAACACCCGCTTGGTCACTACCATCCGGGGTTTCTCCCAGAGTCCCTAACAGACCATCACCAACTGCTATTAAATCCACCCATCATGCGCTCCTTACACCCATGTTAAGTGTTACACCTTAGGGAAGGGTGTACAGACGTTCCTCTACTTACGAACTTTCAGACATACGAACGAAGACGACTGTAAGTCCAAATTGTGTTCATTGGGCTCCCGTTTCCTGTCCGCAACATCAATTTTTTTTCCTGCGCACCAATTCCACCCAGTATGACTTCTGGCCGCTTCTTCCACCGCGCAGCAGCGTATCGTGCGTACTCCCAGCATCCTAGTTATTTGTGCGTTTACCCTTAAGATGATGTTGAGTAACTACGTACGAACATTTCAAGTTACGACCAGCCGTTCGGAACGTATCTCGTTAATTCTTAAGTAGAGGAGCGTCTGAATTATAAAAACAAAGTTAAACTCTCGCTTTAAATAATTATTTCCTAATAATTTTATTTCTGAATTTCTGGTGAAAATCCCATGATCCTTCATCAGTGTGGGGACAGCACCACCCTTTACACAGCGTATCCTCAAGCCCTGGCCCTCCTGCAGCTCAGTGACCTGTCGCACATGCTGCTGCTTGGGTAACAACACGGGAATCTCCTTACACTGGGCATATTGCCATGTGGGACGTTGGCACTGCTCGGGGAGCGCCTAGGCCATAAACCCTTCTCTCATCAACCAATGATTTCTTACTTCCAGCTCTTTTCTTATCCTGGACAAACCAAGACACATTGATCATAAAGCAGGAGATTGAACCCTTTGGTTTTATGCATTCATAAACAAAAAAACTTGCCAGAAGGGGGCAGCAATGAGCAATAAAGATAATTCTCAGGTCTTGCACTTCTAGAAATAAATAATAATAAAAAAAACATTTATGCTGTGGCAGTGATCTCTACAATTCAAAGTAAAATATTTGACTATTTAGTCAGTTAAGCAGTCATCAACAATTGTTTATATCTGGCTAGCTTACAGTTGAGAAATCGTACTTAATCTTGACAGATCAATAAAAAAGATATTTGGAATACAAATTCAGAAACTGACGACAAACCTGAATGAATTTATTTAACCTGGTGTGCATCTTGTAGACCTATTTGCACTCGTGTTCAACTGCCCAAAGGGTGCGAGATGACAAAAGACTTTTTGGGGAAATGCTGTTCGATTTACCGACAGAAACAAACAAACAAACAAACAAAAAAGGTCTGAGCCCCCCAACTGGGTTTCCTTGGCAACACGTCCTTAAGCCCCTCAAAACAGGGAGGGACTGTTTCCAGTGTGGGCATGTCCACATTCTCTGAAAGTTTCACTTTACTGTGAACTAAATTAGTGCAACATTCAGAGGTCCAAACTAAAGTGAACACAGCTGAACTATAGGATGAAAACTATTACATGTATTGCCCACCTGCTATGGCCAACAGCTGCTGGAAATCTCACACCCCTCCTTAATACTTAATATGGCCTGAGCCCCTATCACCACTTAACCACTAATACTTGACACCTGGCGCAGATGCAACACACTGTTAGCTGAAACAAACGACACTACGGCCCAAGCATTACACACATTGTTTCGGGGTGTGTAGACCTCACAACCTACTGGGGGTGGATTAATGATGACATACTTTAAGTTATATTGTTCAGAACTGTTCATTCCACGTTTTAGATAAGCGGGTCAGATCCCATCCCTTGCCAATCCAATAAAACATTTTCAGAGAAGTTTTTACTCTTGTTAAATAATAAGTATTTGATCATACAGATCTTATGTACATTGCGACTCTTGGAAATTGCACGAAAAAAGCGCATATATGTTTTCATATATGCGCTAAGATGCCCGTTGGTTTTATTTGGTCTGAGTTTGAGTAATTTTATCCTGTATTATTAACCAAAACAATCACCAAGTACAGAAATGAGCAGAAATGGAGTTTGACTGTGGTGGTGACGCGCCTGTTTACCTCTTGGCACTCCATGCGTTTCGACTCGGCCTGGGAACAGACTAAACTCCGGGGTGCATTTGGGGCGGCTTGATGTCTGGACTTCCCGGTCGCCAAATGTTACTTTGCCGTCAGCGACGATGTGGCGTTAGAAATCGCACCGACAAATTCGCGGAGAGAGCCACTTGCGAGAGCCCGCTGGCGCTTTCTGCTTTCCCCGACGGCGTGTGGATCAGAACCCTCGGTCCGAGCCCGGCCGCGTGGCCGATCGATGGGATCCATCCCCCTCCGTAACACCATCGGCGTCATGGACACGGCGGCGCCCGAGAGGGATCCATGGATTCACGCATTCGCCCTTTAACCGATGCGAGCGTCTGAGGTCCAGTGGCCCAAAAAGGGTTGGAAAATCGCTCTCATTCCTGCTTCACCATAATCTAATTGGATGTGGAGCCTGCGTCTTCATACAAGATGTCTTCGAGATGCTGGTTTAAGCCGCAAATTCCATTCCCATTCAAGGGCACCGAGTTCTGTTTCAAAATAAAACACCTCGGGTTTTCTTCAAAATGTCCGACCCAGAACAAATGCTGTATCCCGTGCTGAGTATTCCAGCCGGTACAGAAGTGATTACCTAACCTTATAGGTATCCCAGATGGCTTTCTCGCTATCTGGACAGTCAAGTACAGAACTATGGTACTAACTGTCAGCAAATCTGGCGTACTTGTTACTTAGATCCAGCTAACTGGATGTTGTACTAGTTTCGGTTCCGAAGTCACTGCATAAAAGTACATAATAGTCTTGGAATGTGACTATTTAGTTACAGTTAGAAAACATTGGGTCGTACGAATAATTACAGAAAACTGCGGACTCCGCCTCCAAGAAAACAAGAAATTTTACTAAATAAAACTTCCATCGGGGTGCTGGTAGGACCGCTCATTGTTAGATGGTGGTAACTAACAACAGATAAAATACAGCACAACTTGTTTTTAGGAGCCTGTACAGAGTCCGGTGTGTCCGGTGCACGACTGCGTGATGCGAGTGCTAAACGCCATATGGCTTTAAAAGTTTAAAATCAACTTCTAAAAAACACATGCAACAACCAAAGTACTTCTGCTCTCCAGTACTTGATCCACCGTATATTGCACGTGACTATATGATCAATAGCGACATTATAATACGTCCGATTAATTCCGAAACGAAACCGTTATCAGGCAGCTAACAGCTAAAGCTAAGATTAAGCACGAAACGATAATGCCATCACCATCTAGGCAACGATTCAACTTGTGGCGATTCTGCATCAGCAGCTCCACTCAGACTATCGCTGTTTTCGTGATGAAATGCACTAAACATTCTTTCCCACATTCAATCATAGGAAACAGTAACTATCCATATGATAAGTAGCGGCTTGTCCTTAGTATTAACCACAGATGCACTACAGCGCGATCCCGTGAAGTCCAGGAAAATGGCTCGCAGAAGCCACAAGCTACCTTGACAACGGGAGAAACCATTTGTGTACTTGTTGGGGGGAGTGCGAGTGGGTGGGTGGGGCAAAAGAGGTACAACTGACGGACCATCGTATCATAACATATTTTTTTTTATGTAAAAATGATGTTTAGTATTAATCCTGTTTCCATTCTTATTCTGATTATTTGACCTGCTGTATTAATTATCTCTAACATTAATACCTAATTTGTAGGTTTTCTTCCAGACATAGCGTTGTGAAACTGGCATCCCACCCAGGGTGTACCCCAGCTTTGTGCCTTATTCTGCTTCAGAAAGGCTGTAGACCACCCCATAAACCCTGACCAGGATAAGTGGTGAAAGATGGAAGGTTGGATGGATTGATAAATAATGTCTGTAGGTTTTTGCCAAAAATTCAACAGTTGCCTCATTAGAACCAAATATCCCCCAGGTAAGCATACATTTTCAGCATATATGTTAGAACAATTCATTCAAAATAAATATAAAAATGTACCACAGTTGATGTATTTTTTCTGTGTGATATGTTTAATCAGATCATGCATGGTTATTATTGATGACACAAATAAAGTACACCTGTGAGTATGTATGGGTTAGTATGATTTTCCATTGGGTACCTCAGCTTCCTCATGCAGTACAAAAACAAAATTAAGTGACCTGGACTTGTGCATTTTATGGGTCTGTGTGGTCTGTAGTTGACTGGCACCCAATCCAGAATGTCCCCTGTTTTTGCCCTGTGCAAATAGGAATAGGCTCCAGGCTTTTTATATCTGCATTGTATATTTTAGATTATATACTTGGTATCCTTACCTAACTTTATATATTGTAATTTCTCTTTTTTACTCCGACTTTACTTCTTACCTTTTTCTATTTTTATTTTTTTCTATTTTTACACAGCCACATAAGAGTGACACAGAGATACATTTCACTGCATGTTGTATGTATGTGACAAATAAATCTCTTGACTTGACTTGACAGGCTCACCCTAACCCTGCAGTGTGTAAGCAGTTACAGGCAATTCATGGTTGCACAGATCAGTAGCAGTTTATGCATGATTCCAGACAATTTTGTAAACTTGTACACAGGTGAACTTGTGCATGTACTCCAAAATAATAGCCATCACCTTTTTGGTTGAGTATTTTTGGCACTTTTTGCTTGTTAACCATTAGTAAAGTAAAACAGTAAAGCAGTCTTTTTGCATTACTACAGTAGACAATGTTTTAATTAGGGCACTTCTGCTCCTTGAATAGTCTCATTAGGTTCCTGCTTATTTAGAAGTTACAGTGTAATTGTTGGTGTGCAGTTGTGTGACTCCTGATCCAGTGCTGCTTAACCCTGTACCTGAGAGTTCACTGGAAGCTCTACCTAGCCACACTTATGCCTAGTTGACACCTTGACAGCACATGTTTCTAATGTGCTATTTGCCACATTTGTACGATGCTTTGAACAAAGGTGTCTGCTAAATGTGTAAATGTATAAATAAATGTAATGACTAATTATTTAGGGCAACCAGATAATTCATACCAGGGAGGACGGTTTGAGTTAATTCAGGTTTTACAAATTGCTTTATAACTGTAAGGCTCTGGTGATTGGCTAAATAGTTCAGTTCTTCTTGTGCTTTGACTGGTTTGTTTCCTTGATTGATAGATTCATCCAACTGTGATTTTAACATCAGTGACACATGCATGATTATAGGAGACTGATCAATCAACACACGGCATGAATTCAGTGCTTCATTGAAATTCAGGTCCTTTTAATTGAAATTGTACTCTACAAGTCCTGTCAAATGCTCAGTGGGCTCCCTGACACGGATTATCTGGTCACCCTGAATTATTACTGTGTGCATGTGAAAAACATAAAATCCAGGCCACACAAAGTATAAATAATATTTCATTATATGGTTAAAGCACTTAATAGATACTTTATTGATCCCCTTGGGGAAATTGTTTTAACTTAATTTTAATGCTGACATTTCCTTCATCACTTGAAATGGCACATCTGATCTGTCTGACCCGGCCATTGCGTGCTCGCCAAGGAACCCCACCCCCAGCTTCCAGTGCTGGGTCCTGCTAATCTCATTCCTGTCTGGCTACTCTGTTATTGATGGTATTTTTCATGGGGATTACACTTCTCAGCCTCCCTGTGAAAACCAGTGCCAGGGCACTGATGGTCGAATGTAGGTAGAATGTAGCTCTGGGGTGGCTCATCTTCTTCGGACAGCTGTGTGACACTTCTTGGTAGTTTCCTAACACAGTTTCCATGTGCACTGTGGATCTGGAGAATACATAGGACCGTATGCCCAGGGCATTCTATGGGAGGTGCTAAGGATTATGGGAATTGGGGCTGGTACTCTGTGCTGTTCAATCCCTGTATGAATGCAGTAAGAGTTGCATCTGCAGCTTTGGCACAAAATGGCACAAGGTAAACCAATGTAATTTAAAGTGGGTGTTGGCTCTATCAAGGGTGTGATTTGTCTTTACTTCTGTTTGTGATTTTCATGTATCCTGTATCCCCTTAAGTAAGGGAGTTCTGATCTGACCTTCTTAGTATGTTGCCACCACAACCCTCACCAGGAAGCCAGTATAAGAAGAAGATGATGATGACTTCATTCAACAATAGCATTATTATAAGTCCGTTGTGTGTACGTTTTCATCGTTTCCATAGTGATCGTTTCCAGCCATTGCAGATGGTCCAGAAGGACACTAGGCGGCGACAAACCTCTCATTTTACAGGACGTACGTCATATTTGGAGTATGAATATTTAGCCGAACAGCATTTGTGTTTCACAGTGGTTTGTATATAACTTTGCAGCTGAGTCCCACGACTAAGACATATTACATTTATCTGGCATGCTACTGCATAATGTTTCATCATAAAACTGCAGAACACAGTAATTAATTGTTTTCATGTAAAGAAAGCTCTGTTTTCTCAGTGTTGATCATGAGTAAATAAAAACATGTCCGAAACAAAGAAACATATAAAAGTGCAATTTTTTTCTTTTCTTTTTTTTTGTTTTTTTTTTTTTTAAATTGCAAATAAAGAGATAAATAGCTTTGCGAATGAAAACGCAACGCAGCGCAATTAACACTGCCATCACGCGGTATTACACAGTGGCACGTGAAAGTGCTTACCCCACTAGGTACTACAGGACAAGCAGTTGGAAGATGTATTTTGATTAATTAATTAAATTTTCAAATAATCAGATCCATTTCTAGAAAACTTGGGAAATGGAATATTTATATTAGCCTATAAAAATTCTAAAGTAAATTAGATTTGATTCTGAAGTAAATTAAAAAGCTGGCTGCTCTGATATGGACTGAGCTAGCCGTTATAGGTATATCTGCTCTTCGGACTTGAAGCGCTAATTTGATATCTTGTATAACACTAAACATGTCCATCCATCCATCCATCTTTTAATCATTTATCTTGAATTAGGGACACAAGCTTGTTTGCACATAGTATATAACTGTAAGTGTGTGTAAGCATGCGTGTGTATGTAAGTTGGTTATATTTATATAACATTGTTGGGACCAAATGTAACCAAATGTTCCCAAAATGTGATTTTGACATTGTGGGGACTATATAAATATCTGTCACTACAATCAAAAACCTAAAAATGCCAAACGTCTTGTATTTTGCTTGGTTACTTGTGGTTAAGGTAAGTAAGGGTTAAGATTATCATTGTTGGGATTAGAGTTTTTTTCCATAGAAATGAATGGAAGGTCCCTACAAAGATAAGAATACAAATGTGTGTGTGTGTGTGTGTGTGTGTGTGTACCGTGTGAGGTACTGGCATCCTGTCAAAGGTTTACCCCAGCCTTATGCCCTGTAGTATCTGAGAGGAGATAAAAACATGTTCCCTTTGTTATATGTTCAGTGTCTTTTATTTTTGAATGTCACTTAAAACTATGCATAAATATTTATTCTGAAATTCTCACCTTTTTTGGTTGTGGGTGGTCAGGGGGGTTACAAAGCCAAAGGGATCAAAATTGGGCTCTAATGGGCAGAAACAGGATAGTTTCAAAAGATCTGCTAGGTGATACCCAAGAAAAAAGTCTATACTCCCAAAATGTTTTATGTTTGTCCATTGTATATATTTCAGTTCATAATTTTTTAATCACATAAATACTTTAATTTATAAGATTTATTTAACTTTTGAACTAGATCTTTTGAGCTAATTGGCTTCTTTTCCCCTGTAAAGTTTACACACCGCAACAAATAAGCATTTCGTCAGAGCACTTATGTTGATTATTATACTACTTGAGGTACTTAATCTCTTCCTGTGTTGATAGCTGGTGACCATCATATTAAGACTTATGCCATATTTATGTTTAAAGGGCTGTGGTTTGTCGATTGAATAGGAGCCAAGTTTTGTGGCCAGAGGGCGATTAAAAATAATTTTAGTAGCATGAGAAGAAGCTGAGTAATAACGGTAAGCTGTGTGAGTGCAGAGGTAACAGCAAGGCTCGGGGAGATACCGTCCCGTGAGATACCGTCCCGTGAGATACCGTCCCGGGAGATCACGTGCTGCTTTACCCCCGATAAAAAGTTGAAGAGGTTGAAAAATTGTATGAGATGTATGATATATTTTATGCTCTAAATACCATTCCCTTGGTATAAGCGGGTATAGAAAATGGATGGATAGATGGATGAGGGGATGGAGAGATAGATAAATGGAGGGGTGCTCCAAAGGGAAATGGAGAATCAACTGGTTGGCTGTTTTCCCATGAAATGGTAACAATACTGACCTCATTGGCAAGGTGGGGGGAGGGTTATAGATAGATTCAAAACCTAGATGTGCCTATAAACGTCACAAAGTACCATTTTCGTATTCTATGTTTAAAATTTTGCTATTACAAGGGCACAACTCGTTTTAATGACAAGCACATTTATATTCACATAAAGGCATCGGTTCCGGTGCCTTTGATACCAGTTTAAGCGGCTTGGAGATGTGAACGTGATCTTGCTTGGAAAGCAGCGGTTTTTTTCCACATGCGGAGTTTTTAAGTTCTTGGGCGGATCCAGCTTGAGTCATTTCGAGGCAGTGAATCTAGACTGAATGCCCGCAGAAGGAAAGCAAAGACGGAACCGAATGAATAGGAAGTGGGCGGGAAGAGTTTCCCCTAAAAATATTCTGCATTCCTCTCCTTCTCTGTACCTCTTTTTCTATACTGGACATTTAAAGGGGGGGGGGGGAGGAGAGAAAAAGAGGGGAGTGTCTTGATTGCAAGAAGGACCACAAAAGCAAAGAGACACAGAGTGTCTCTCGGAGATTTATTGTTTTTGGAACTGAAATCAGTAGCGTGAGGTGAGCTGCTATTTTTTGAATATTTTGTTGCGTCGCCTATGTGAACTTCATGCTTATTCCGTTTCAGTTTTTTAATATGCTATAATACTTATTTACGTAGGACAGCATCCGTTGCATGGTTTAACATTTATGAATCGTTTTCCTGTGTTTTTGTTGTTCTTCTTTAAACTATATTTATTAAGGAAACTTAAGGATAATATAATGAAGCACAACTGAGCACGTTCTCAGAGTTAGTGTGATGTCCGGTGCCATGATAGCAGCGAATTTTTTTCAGGAACTGTGGTGTAATATTGTGACCACTTAAAATCCTAAAAGTTCCCGTTTTTGGTTACTGGTGCATGTGATACGTTTTTTCCATACCAGGTTATGAGTGCTCCCTCTTAAAGTAAAATCTAATTGGAGCCATGTGTTGACAAAATAACTAACAAAACAGTATACTCATTCTCTGAACTGTAAGCAACAGTTTTTCATTTCTCACTGTGAAACTTCATAGGTCATGCAGAAAATTATTTTGCAGCAGTAAATCAAGTTATTGAAGGATAATACACTATAAGTCAGATAATTTAAGATTTGTGTTGTTATCACTCCTAACAGACCTTCTCTATGTGGGGTTTAGAACCGCGTCCGCTGAACACACTAAGTCCTCAACCTTACAGAAGCATCACAGCCGTTTTGTTTTGTGCACAGGTGCCGCTGACAGAAGTGCTCACTACAATGGGTTTCTTGCTTGTGTTTGTGACCCTCCTGCACTTGATAACACTCACCATTTTATTTATTGCCACCACTGAAAAGGTGAGCCATCCCTAACACTTACTACAGGAACTTACAGTCTACTATTTGTTTTTTGAACTTCTGAGTATTCTTAATTATTCTAAAGGCACAGTCTGTATGTCAGCAGGTGGCCATGAACTGTGCTGCCGTACAATGGCAAAACACTGTAACTGCATATCTAACCAAAAGTGAGTTGTGACCAGCATTGGGTCTCTTTGGTTCTGTTTTATCTTGTGAAAAGATACTGTAGTGCAGCTTTGCTCAGTTCTGTAGAAAGCACTATAATTAACCTACCTACTACACAGGAGCAGACAGTGAAATACTTAGAAGCCCCCATCCTCACGTTCTTTGTCAGCATAATCATTGTGTTTTGCCTTTCTGGGCCAGTAGGGGTCTCAGAGACTCCGATGATGTGCTAGTCTGTCTGGGTTAGGGTTAGGGTTCGGGGTTAATGTACTTGCCCACCACCAACACCTCCTCACCCCCATCTCTCTTCCAACCAGTCCTGGTGGGTGTGGAGCGGTGAGGAGAACTCAGACCTCTGGTATCACTGCAAGCTTGACAACATCACAGGAGCCTGGCTGTGCACATCTTCCAAAGAAAGCGGTAAGAACTTTATTCATCACAGACCCTTGGATCTTATGCCATGAAATTATTGCCCCACACTTTTGGTGGCAAGAGGTAGCTAAGGGATCTTACCTGATGGACTCTTGTCCCTGTCGTTTCTCTGTGCTCAGAGTGGCTCCATGCTGTACAGGCCCTCATGGTCCTCGCCGTCGTCTTCTCCTCCATTGCATTTTTGATCTTTCTTGCCCAGCTCTTCAAAATGTCCAAAGGAGGCCTCTTTTACATCACTGGGCTATGCCAGGTCTTTGCAGGTATTTCACCATTATGGTTTAATCTATGTACAATACTGCATGCCTTTGCTTAGAGAAGTCATCCATCTTTTACATCACACTGTTAAGTGTCACTAAACTAAAAAAACTGTGCACTCTTTAAAAATTATATGCCCCAGTTCGTTTATCATGTTAGTCAAATCAAAACAAAATTTCCCATTGTTTACATGTAAATAATAAGTTATCTGGCAAAAGAATGCTATATTTATTAATTTCATTACTTTATCCATAGTAACTTATTGTACAATACATTCGTATTGTCAGAGAATTTCTTGCAGCGATTCAGGGTCAGTTATTCAAAAGTCCGTGTTCTTGTCAGTGTCCTTAATGACTTCACTACCTGCTGGCTTAATTAAAATTGTAATTTACCTTCCCTCTTTGTATCTCGTGCGCTCCTTCCAGGCCTCACAGCCTTTTCGGCCGTGATCATCTACACACTGCACCGCAACGAAATCCTCCAGGATCCCAGCCAGCGACGTTCCGGTTCCTACGGGTACTGCTATGTTTTGGGCTGGCTCTGTGTGCCCATGCTCCTGGGCAGTGGCATCATCTACATCCACCTGCGCAAGAAAGAGTGATGCCAGCTGCCATCTGTGCATGACTGGTGCATCTTTCTCATTCCTGAGCTTTAATGGGGTTGCCCTAGTTCATGATTGAATGAAAACTGAGATTCACATTGCTGTATGCATCATAATGTATAGCAGCATGAACAGAAAACCAATCTTGCTTTGATTTCAAAGTATCCAAAGAATTTTCCTGTCAAGTAAAATCACATTTTATACTGAAATCTAAAATGTTATTAATGATTAACAATAATGACATACAGAATAACAATATTTTTCTATCAATGTATTAAGATATTAGCACATTGCACATTTGATATAAAACATAAAAGGTCATCATTTCCTTGAGGAATCCCAGCCATGCCATACAGTGGTCATATATTGAATTTGGCGTTGACCAATTCAGTGAATTATGAGCTTGGAGTTTAGATTAACTAGATTGCCTTCTATGATATCAGTGAGTAAAGTCAATATTTGGGAATCACTGCTTTAAATTGATGTAACTATACATATTTTGGTAACCAGAAACACATGCATCCGTCTTGTTTCAGCTTACCTGAGTTTACTTCATTACATTACAGCTCACAACGAAAGGTATTTTGCAGCTGAATATTTTGGACACTGACTGGACAGAATGTTTCCTACTTAAACATATAATTATAATATTCTCTATATTTAAACAAGCTTCAATTGAAAAAAGATGGGTGACAATGTAATTAAATATTTCCAGATAGTATTTGTATGTCAATAGCTTTTACTCTTTGCATTATTTGTATATCAATAGTTTCTACATGTTATTGTTTGCATACGGTATATCCATCATAGTATTTTGAAAAATTAAATCTATTGCCAGAGAGATTTAAATGACAATGGTAAATTATAAACAGATGAACCAACTCTTATTTTTCATACATTTGCTACACAAAGACATTCAGTAGATTATGAAACCAGCAATAAACAAATAAGTAAATCTTATTCTAATACTGGAATATTATATGGAAAAAAAACCTCGCAAATAAACAGCTTTCTTGTTTTTGCTGTACTATTTTCCAAATAAATATCTATTGTTTTGGATATTTGTGTGGTGGTGTGTCACATGTTACAAAACCACTTCCAAGGTGACTTGCCTAGTTCACAGGATTCATTTTGTGTTTATTCCATAATCAAGTTACTTTTGCGAAATTGTTTGACCCTGTCAATGCATATTTTAAGCAAAAAGTAATCTATAAATTATAAAGTAGTTTTAATATGGTAGGCGAATGTATCTCACTGACTCACCAGAACACTGACCTGGTCCACCTCCATTAGCCGTCCCTTCGTTATGGTCTTTTGAAAATATTGCACGGTCTTGCATTTTGCATTTGTCTAGTGCAGAGGTCGGCAACCTTTTTAAAGCAAAGAGCCATTTTCAGACCCTAACCCTTTCTGACCCAAGATTTACAAAGAGCCACAATGGGCAAAGAAGGGGGATTGAAATACGATTTTTTATGTGATATGTGTATATATGCATTTAATACAAAAATAGAAGTTCGACTACTTAAAAACTATTATAGAAAAACTATTTTGGGGGTGGGTGGGGAGGGGGGGCATCTCCGGTTTAAGTCACTTAGACGCGTAACAGCGCAAAGGTGACTAACAGTACAACACTGTAGCGACAGTCTTCACCCTCATCCCTCCTTTCGTTTGGTTCTGCAGTTGTCTGCCCTTCACTCTCCACTTCACTACTTGTAACTGTCCTGACCGAGCAGTGCAAAATGTCCTCACCACTCCGAAATCAGCTGGCTATAATACGTAAATCGGATAAAATATAATAATTTTTACGAAGACCTGGGAAGGCGTGGTGACGATTTACTACAAAAAGTACATGTAAGAATTAGGAATCCCCATAAACGTTGAAGCGTACATCCAATCTCAGGTGCTTCAGAAAACTCCGGAAAGGATATATACCATTTAACCATGCAGGTAATCTCCTTTTAGCGAATGACTTTGAGGAAGATGTAAATTATGCAGTTAAGACGTAACAGAAGCCCGCGACGGACTGCCTCATTCAGATATAGCTAAAGAAATATCTAAGCGAAAAATAATAATAATAACCCATAAATAAATGATTTATCTTTATGAAAGTATTATCATATGTTAAGACATGAAAATGTGAATTCGTCCATCGTTATGAAAAGAGCCGCAGCCACGTTGTAAAATAGCCGCATTTGGCTCGCGAGCCGCAGGTTGCCGACTTCTGGTCTAGTGGAAACCATGTCCTCATAGTATTTTGATTGGAATGGCTCTTCTGATCTTGCCTTGATTTGTAATGCATTGTATAACTCATGTATTATTGCTGACTTGCCCTTGTCATTGATTGGAAGGTCAGCCTAATTATAGTTGGCTCCTTGAGAGTTGCATGCTTGTAATGTATTATCTCCCACACTTTTACATCACTCTGGGTAAAATGTAAATCTGCGTATTTATAGGAACATATTTAGCAGATGCTTTTCTCCAATTCGACACACAAGTGAGGAAATCTTGGGAAGAGAGAGCTAGCAGTGCCGACGGAGCAGATGGGGTTCAGAGCCGGTGTTCTGTCGATATATGCTGCCTTGTCGAAAAATCCTACGGTAGTGCTAATCGACAGCCCTAACCCTAACTCTTACCCTAACCCTAACCCCCCAAAACCCCTAAAACCCTTACCTTAACCCTAACCCTAACCCCTAAAACCTAACCCTAATCCCAAAACGGTGGAACTGCACATGCGCAGAAAGGCTCGATAGCACGTCTCGGTAGGTACTGTAGTATTTTATGACAGAACACCTGCGGTCAAAAGCCCTAATCGTGACATAATAACTCTGCCGACCACAGCTAGATTAAACTTAGGCGTTTTGCTTTTTCACTTCAGTGATTTCTCAGACAGTTCTCGTTTTCCTCTCTTTTATGCGGCCTATGCTGGGTTTTGAAACATACACACAGGCTTGCGGTTTGGATATGATTGTATACGCATCACACGACTACTACTACTAATAGTAATAATAATAATAGTTTTACTTAAATTAAATAATTAAATTGCTAGTCAGTATTGATCTGTCTGCTGTAATTCTCATATATGGGCGGTTCCCTAGAGTATCGGCTAAGCGAAAGGAAAATTACGGAAATATATTTCTGTGGACAAAAAAAGGAAGCGAATAGAAGAATATTTCCTGTTAGATCTGCAGGGATTTTGCTAAATAAAGATGAAGAGATTCTTGCACTAACCCTACCCATTATCCAGACACCTTTGTTGATATCAGAGAACCACCTTTCCTGTCTAATAGTTCATTAGTAATTTCAGATTATTCTCCTTTTTTAGCCTTCCCCCACTAGCGTGTGTGATTGCTTATTTGATCTTGGTGAATTTAATATAGGTTTACAAATACGTTACCGTCAGAACCCATACACTTCGTAACGGCAGCGGTCGTTTCCATGGGAACGCTCCCACGCTTTGGTAACATTTTTAACAGTTGGCTGCATACGAAACTCCCCAGTGAGGCTTCGCGATTTTCACGGAGACGTTAACTTGCAGTTGTTACCAAATAATTCAAAGCATTAGCAACAATTTCAGACATCGTCTTCACTGACGTGCCGCTCATACAGCCCAGGTAGCTTTCACTGTTTGGAAACATGTCATCGACAATTAATCCTCTCGCTAACCCAAAAGGAACTAAGAAAGTGTGCGAGCTGTGTGAGAAACCAGCGCACATTCAATGCACTGGCTGCCGAGTGACCTTTTACTGGTGAGTATAGATTCATGTCCGCGAATTTCGTATTTTAGTTGCCTGATTATCTAGGCTACATATTTTCACCTTTACATTTGGTTTTGCGGCTGTTTTCAGTTATGAGAAACGTCGAAAAGCTATTTTGAAATGAAATGAAATGATAAAATGTCAAATTACTAAAAAATAGTAACAAAACTAAAGCCAGCAGGTAGGGCGCCGCTAAGTGTAAAATTCAAACAAAGATGTGTCATACACCTCAGACACACCCTTACTGTTTCCATTATCTTGTTTTATATAAAGAGTAATTTGTGGTTGGTTCTTAATATATTTCGAGGTTCTTGCGATACTTAACTGGGTGTTTCATGAGACACCAGCAGATGGCGGTATGTAAAAAGGCACAGTAATCCAGATGGTCAGGAAAGCAGAGGAAGCCAAAATAAGTCTGAGTTCGGAAGGGAGGGTTCGTTGAGTTCAAACAGCTGGAGAGCAATTTATCAAGAAGGAAAGTTTGAGTTATACTGTAGAACTGTTTTTGCAAGAAACACGCGGCGTTATTAACCTAAACTTGTTTTGAAGCATCGAATTATTGAGAAGTAGGAGTACATTGGCGGCTCAGGTTGACAAACTTGAATCGAGCAAATATTAATATGCAGCAGTTTTATTGGTTCCGTTTTCCCAAATGGTTCAGGCTAAAACCAGACTCTATTAATTCTGTGGTGTTACACGCTTTCACCGTGCCTTACCACGACATCTCAACTAAGGGAAATTTTAATGGTAAAATCTGCTGAATATATGTAAGGCGATTTTTTCATTTTAAAAACAATGCAATGTACGTTGAAATGAAATATTGCAGAACTTAATACATATGAAAACGGATTTTCTAAGGGAAAGCGTAATTGTCGTCTCGTGATTCGTCGACCGCAGTCCACGTTCGCTGAGCCGAAACTGCAGGCAGCCAGCTGGAGGCGCGCTCCCTTCGCCCCGCGTGCACGCACTCGCACTCCGTCGGCTCGCTGCCGCCCGGATCTCGTGACCCAGCTCAGGCTCACTCAAGACGTGGCTGCTGTCCTTTGGCAGCGACCCAGGCCGCTGCGCAGAGAGCCTGGAGAAGCAAGTGCGCACGTTTCTGTGGGCTGCGGGGACTGAGAAACGAAGAACCAACGAACGATTATGGGGGCACAACTGTATATAATTTTTCAATCGGTAGAAAAAGTTGGACAGAATGAGAGATGTTGCTTTCTCTGATTCAGCAGTAATTGCAGCTTTCTGTAGGTATTTTCCAGAAATGTGGAATCTGTTCAACTGAATAATTGCTGGAAACTTTCTGAAATGCCACAGTGGTGTACGCGCCTCTAGTTATTTAGTATTAAAGCAAATACTTAACTGTTTGGTTATATGATCCGCCAGTACCTTATACAAGCAACGGATGTGGCATAAGTGGCAAAGAGTTACTTGTATCGTGTTGTATCATATGTGCTGCACAGGTGTTCATTCCTTTTTGTTTAGTGTAATAAAAGAACAAGCTATATGTAATGATTTATATTCCATGTGTTTTTGTGTGATCTGCAGAATGGTTTCCTTAATGTTTTTTAAGGACGTTATTTCAATATTTCATGAATATTTTATAAGTAGATGTATTTTAATGTAAAGTAATGTTAATGTATTTTTGTTAACACTTAATTATAAAAAAATGTAACTAGTCAGTGTGTAAATGAAACTTAAGTCACTGATTGTCTTGACACTTTCAGTGGGTTAAACCAGGCAGTAACTGACAGTTTGCGGTATTCCCTCCTACCTCATTGCGGATTTTGAAACCTCGCTCCTATGTTTGAAACTTGCTACTTATCTTTGAGACTCGAGGACCTCAGTGTTTCAAACACGCAGCCACCATTTTTACGTTTCGTTCGTAGCAAAGCCGGATTTGGCTCTGACTTCCTGTCCTCTCACCACAGCAACACAGAGCACCAGCAGGCTGACTGGGCTGGGATCCACCAGAAGGTGTGTCAGCTGCTGGCCCCCCTGCGCACCCCCATCCCTTTCCATGTCCTGGGGGCGGAAAGGGAGCATCACAGAGCGCAGAGACTGCAGAGACAGGTAGCCCAGGCTGGTGCACATGCACAGTGACAGTGCACAGTGACAGGTGCCGATTCTGCCTCCATTTACACTTATGAGAAGCCACACATAGGAGGCACCTGCCCTCATGTATTTAAAAAAATGTCTATCACCTGATTTCTGCTAAGACAGAAACATGAACATTAAGTCATCAGTCACTCGTCTAAATTCATGTGTTTATCATGTATCGTCCCCTTTTGCATCAGATGATGTTCAGTATATTGCATAAGGCACTGTGTGTGGTGTCTCTGGGACAGTGGCCATATGGGGCTTGTGGGTACATTTTAAGAGGCGTACTTAGTGTTCCATTTGGGTAATTGTATGTGGAATGCTGCGGTCTGTATATATGATTTATACAATTCCTTGGTGAGACCTCACCTAGAATATTGTGTGCAGGTTTGGTCACCATATCTTAAAAAGGACATTGCGGCCTTAGAAAAGTTGCAGCGTAGGGCCACAAGAATGATTCCTGGTCTTAGAGGAATGTCATACGAGGAAAGGTTAGTTGAGCTAAATCTGTTCAGCCTCAAGCAAAGGAGACTGAGGGGGGACATGATCCAGGTCTATAAGATTCTAACAGGTTTGGATGCTGTTCAACCGAATAGTTACTTCAGCATTAGTTCAAATACAAGAACTCGTGGCCATAGGTGGAAATTAGCGGGAGAACATTTCAAACTGGATTTAAGGAAGCACTTCTTTACACAGCATGTAGTCAGAGTATGGAATAGTCATCCTGATAACATAGTGCAAGCTGAATCCTTGGGTTCCTTTAAATCAGAGCTAGATAAGATTTTAACAACTCTGAGCTATTAGTTAAGTTCTCCCCAAGCGAGCTCGATGGGCCGAATGGCCTCCTCTCGTTTGTATAGTTCTTATGTTCTTATGTTCTTATGATGCCTGGCTGTGTGTCGGCGGTGGGAGCGACAGGAGCAGCTGATTGAGATCTCGCGGGCAACGGCTCAAAGGAAGCTCTTTGAGAAGAACCACTGGGAGGCTTTGCCGGCTGCCCAGCTCTGCCTGTGCTCTGCCACGGATGTTTACGGCCCCGGCGCCGTGCAGCTCGTCCCTGCCTACCTGCTATTGGCGGAAGCTAACATTGGTCAGTCCGCACCCTTAAAATACGTAGCTGGGGTAACTTGGTGGCTATGGATAGGGAAGATTCCGCTCTTGTATCATTATCTGAAGTTCTTCATAATGATAATAGCATCTTTAATTGATTAGAATGCAGCTCAGAGTGCTCCATGTTAAATATGAGTGCATTGTATAGGAATAAAAAGAAACATAATCAAAATCAATGAAATATCACAAAAAATGACTGTCAGTATGACCATAAATATTAAGTAAATGCAAGGTAAAGGGTGTGTTCTTAACTGTTGTTTTAAAATCTGAGGAGAACAGACATCTCTCATATTTGTGGTGATGTACTCCTAAGCTTAAGTGTATATAAAATAAATGGCTGTCAACTATTTTTATAAATGGAGAAATCAGTGTTATGTATACTTAGATGCTGCACGATTAGTACGTTTAAAAACCAAAGATGTAAAACGTGTTCTAAGGTTTACTGGCAGTTAATGAAAATAGATAAAACATTTATTTTTGTTATCACATGAAGGTCAAGATGATGAATGTAATGACGTGGCCAAGGAATGGGCAGAGTATAACAGTTTATTCTGGGATGTTTTGTTTTTCATTTGCAGACTTCACAGGTTTAGATGAGGATGGGTTTAATAAGACACAAAGAAATAAACATGAAAAAGCCAAGTAATGTGAGAAAGCAAACAAAAAATATCTTGGGTGTAGCAAAACCATGGCCTGGGATTGAGATTGTGGCAGGAGTTACGTCAGAAAAATTCATACAGCTGGTCTTATATTTTGTGAGAATGTGAGACAGGTGGAGCAAATTAACTGCCTGGTCACCTGACTAGGGTCAAACAAGCACCACAGCTTTCTTATGGTTTTCCTATTTAGCACACCTATAAATCTTTGTGTAAGCCCCTCTGTGCATGCTTTTAGGAAACAAATGATAACAGCTGTCATCTATAATGCATTATAAATACCTCCATAATGCATTATAATGGCTGGTATAAGAATTAATAAAGCATTATAGCATCTTCTATTCATAGTGTTGATTATAATACTTCATAATGCCAATGAAGCTCTCATCTATAATGCACTATAGGTACCTTCATAATGCATTATAATGGTCAATATAAGAATTAAGGATGCTCTGTACTGCATTATGAAGGTGTCTATAGTTCATTATAGATGAGAGCGTCATAAAGTACACACAATGCATAATAAACATAACTATAATGTGCCATGTTCATAATGCTTTATGAATGTATTATAATATGTTATGAATGTGTTCATAGATTCTTATAACAAGGCATTCACAGAAAGTGTTACCAAACTAATAGTTAAATGGTACAGGTAGTGGTAGTGACAATTAGTGTTTACGACTGTGACTACTATACACTCAAAGTCAACATTGATAAAAGTAGCGGTCCCAAAATAGATCCGTGTGGAGCACAATTTTTCTGTCTCACAGAGAAGAACCTGAAGCCAACTTTGCAATTCTCTGGACAGACCACTAGGATTTCTGAGGTTTAGCATACATAAGTACTGCTGAGTTGATAGTATGAAAGACAGCATTAAAATCAAAATAAACCAGAATGGAACATCTCAGGAAAGTTATTGTTATCCAGAAACTCATATATATTTAAAAATTTCACCTTTTCCAAATCCCACTGCGGAACATTAGGTGTATGCAGTGCAGGGCTTCTCTTTTCATGGTTTACGCAGGGATGGGAGCAGCACAAAGGGAGAGGAAACTTGAAAAAACAAAAAACATTTCTGGTGAAAGAGGAATTGACTACATTGTACCAGGGAACAGAGACATATTGTGACAAGAATCAACATGGCTTTGGTTGTGTTTACTGTGTCCAAGAAATAATAATGTGCATTAAATTATATTACTCATAGTTAGTCATAAATGAGGGACAGGCAGCAAAAACTGACACAAACAACCCCACCTGCCTCTCGCTCTCCATTTAGCTAGCCGTCCTTCTCACCCTGCCAATCTGTAAGTAAACCTTCAAAGAAAATGGGCTAAAGCACATGAAGAGCATTTTATTTATGAAATGACCTGCCTCTGGCTTTCTTCAAATAGTCAAAAACAGCTAAGGGAAACTTTAACATTTCGAAATTTATCTATATATTTTATGTTTACGTATTTAAATATTTATATTTTAGGATTGTTCTTAAGAGTGATCATTTTGAAAAGCATAACCATCTGCTTTTATTTCTGGTTGCAGCAGGATTATTTTTATTGCAATGTTCTAATGATTATGCAGTTTAATCTCCATTTGTCAGAATATTTCATTTGGTGATCTAGCTGCTTATCTGATACTTCTATGCAGAGTCCTTTTGACCAGTTAATGTAGCTGGATATTTAACTGGAAAATTTCAAGTTAGGTGCTTTGTGCAAGAATATTTCGGGTTTTAATGCTCTTTAACCACTACAATGTTTGGTGTAATGTGAAATCCATGCTTAAGTTCCCAGAGAAGGTATTTTAGTTTCTGCACTGTCTCATTCAGAAACTGGAACCCCTGTCAGCGTTGATGGTGAATGGCCTTTCATGTGGCACTTTACACCACACGGCCAAACTAATGTTTCCAAAAAGAAGCGGAGAGGGCGATCAAACCAAGGACATTATTTATCTCAGCTGTAACTTGTGTTTGATCATAAAATGGTTTGTATATAACTGTCAGTCAGGCAATGGGAAGATAATAAGAATTCTAATGTTCAGTCACACCCACGGCCCAGTGCTCCAGGAAACTCAAGGTAAACCAATCTCTTTGGATCTCATTTTGTTAAATTCATCTCCTCCCCAGGATTAGGAAACAACTCATTTGCACAGCCGTAGCGCCTTTTCTGCAGCTGTTTTGTAGGTACTGGGGCTGCCTGCACACAACACTTCTTTTAAGTGAAAAATGGCAACACCCTCGACTTCAACTCATGACCCCCTATGTTGATACCTGCACTCCCGCTCACTCTGGCATATGACTGCTTTAAAGTGACAAAGAACAGAGACTCCTTGGTTATGTAACTCACTTTTCCAGAGTGATTTATAATGAAGGCGTACTGACACGGTCAGTTTAGTAGCAACCGAAGCAAAATAAGGAAGCCCTGTGTACCCTACCATACCCTACCTCAGATCAGTGACAATATGAATAGAGAAATCTCCAGTCTTTGGGTATATTCAGTTTGCCATTTCACTTCAGCACGTTATTGAAGGGTGGCAGAAGAATGGAGATCGGTGGGATTTCTGCGATGAGCAAGTATAGAAAATGAGGGCCTGATAGGAATGTGGATAGTGTGTAAAATTCACCAGCGCTCTGCTGACTCAGTAACTGCAGAGTTGCATACTTACACTGGCATTAACCCCAGCACAAAAACTGTGAGCTTCATGGAATGGGCTTCCATGACTGAACAGCTGCGTGCAAGCCTCACATCACCAAGCGCAATGCCAAGCATCAGATGGAGTTGTGTAAAGCATGCCGCTAGACTCTGAAGCAGTGGAAACGTGTTCTGTGGAGCGACGAATCACACCTCTTTGTCTGACAGTCTGATTGATCTGGGTTTTATGGATGCCAGAGGAAAAAGTTACCTGCTTGACTGCATTGTGCCATCTGTAAAGTTTGATGGAGGAGGGATAACTGTGGGGACAGTTTGGGGAAGACCTTTTTTCTGTTCCAGTATGACTGTCCCAGTGCACAGAGGCCTGACATCAATCCCATCAAACACCTTTGGGATGAATTAGAATGGAGATTGTGAACCAGGTCTTCATGTCCAACATCAGGGCTTGACCTCACAAATGCTGGTCTTGAAGGGGCAAAAATTGCCACAGACACACTCCAAAATCTTGTGGAAAGCCTTCCTGGAAGAGTGGCAGCTGTTATGGGTGCAAAGAGAGGACCAATTCCATATTGATGCCTGTGGATTTAGAATGGGATGTCGTGAAAGTTCCTGTAGGTGTAATGGTCAGGTGTCCCAATACTTTTGTCCATATAGTGTAGCTGCATTAATGTTAATGTGTGCTGTCACTGCACCAGGTCTTGGTAGGTTTTCCCAGGCAGAGGAGTACTTGGCCCAGGCGGAGTGGATAGTAATGAAGGGACCAGAGTGCAGCCTTGTGGTGCGTCACCAGCTCCACCGGAACCTGGGTCGGCTGCACGCTGCCACAGAAAATTTTGAAGAGGCCCTGTTTCACCTCGCTAATGATGTGAGTTAACATACAGGGGCCAAAAAAACATTCATGTACACAAAAACCCTGTGAGGTTTTATACGGTGTTGTTTTATCATACAGGTTTACTACGCCAGTGAAGAATTTGGTTTGGACAGCACTGTGACTTGTGGTGGCTACATTCTAATGGCAAATATATTTTTCAAGCAAAAGAAATATGATATTGCAATGTCCTTGTGCACTGAGGTAAGAGACGTGGGATGTTATGATAGATAAGAACCACTACATTTAGGCTTTTCTTAAAAAATATTTTCATGACCATGAAATGATGATGGATGGATATTCATGTATTTTTTATCATTGAAAATGCAGGTGTGTGTATTTTTTTGCTCACAGTGGTCTGATGGGAGTTATTGTGTTTCTTTGTTGTCTGAGCATGTAGGTGGCCAATACTTGGCACTCTCACCTGTACAGAATCCTAGACAGTCACATTCAGAACTACAGTTCACTTCACAATGCAATTGGTGGGTGAAATCTATACAAACTTTTCATGAGTAAATGTAATGATTTTTGTGCTTTAGCTGTACAAGTAACATTAACTAATACTAAGTATTTTAAAATGAAAAAATACATCATTTCGGGTAAGAAATTTGAAGGCATTTGTGAAATTCTTTTATATCTTTTAAAATTCTAAGCATTATCACCTTCTGGTAATTGCCTGTATATCCTTTGGAATAAGAGCCACCACAGGACACTATGTATCACATTTTTCTCCAAGCTGGGAGCAGATTTGAGCTCACACACAGATGGGTGACTAAGCCGGCTGATGATGGCACACTGCGGCCCACAGCGCGGCTGCATTTCTGTCATCTGCTCCCTGCTTCACTGAGGGGAAAAGCTCATTAAAAGCGAAGTGACCTTTAATGCCTGCACTTTAACTGGACCATACGCTGACTCACAGACACCTGGTCCAGCCAGTTCTTTTGGGCTGGACTGGCAGAGTGCTATGCAGTAATGTTCTGGGTCCTGTATTGTTTTAAGATAAATACATTTGTATTGTGTGGTGGAATGTGATTTGCATCATGTGTTATGTTCCCAATAGAATATGCTGATGTATTCATGTTCATGTACGTTGGTCGGCATATCGTGGTCAGTCACAGTATAATTAGCATGTAAATATGCATTGCAGTTATACGTTCGGATAGTGACACTGCTAATTGTGTGACGCAGATGAGGCCCAGCAGGCTGAAGCTGATCGGACACTGCAGTGCGTTTTGGAATTGGAGGAGCAGATACCGAAACGGGTCCCTTGCTTGATGGCACTAGCTTGCCATGCCCTGGCCATGCTCTGGCTTCTAGGCAACGATTTTGCTAAGGTATTAACCGCACTGCCAGCAGCACACTACCTCCTGTGCGCTCATGTGGGATTAGCGCTAATTGCTAAAGCTCAAAGGTAGGAAATCCCAGGTGCATCATGAGGTTTTCATGGGCTGACCTCGTAAATCTGTCAAGAGGTGCTCTGACTAATGTTTGTGATCTCCATACAACATTTTCAAGCTCCACGTTCTTCACACAATAATGGTACAGCACGGGCGTAAAACTTACATGAATATTCTTTGTCATATTTTCATTAGAACTACCTGATTAATAACCTTGTGATTACTTTAGTCACTATGTGACATAGTTTGGAAATAAGCAGTCAAATGTTTTGAATCCATGCTGACAAGCGGTGACATTAAAAGAGAGATTCTCCTCATAGAGTCCACATTGCATTTAACCGTCCCTAGAAACAATTACATGATTCTGACATGAGATGATCCATGTTTCATTCGCAGTGCATATCCCTTTGGGGCCGAATGTTGATTGATTCTTGTCTGTGCAAATATAAACTGGGTCCCTTTTGAGAAGTTCATTGGCAAAGTTCTTCTTTTTGGTTTCCACATCTACATGTCAGTGACAGATGTGGACTTATATCCCATCATACCCTTGTGTTTGATGCCAGGCAGCGGAGCTTGGTAGGAGGGCCCTGGCTTTGAGCCAGCTGGAGCCGGATTGTGGCCTGACTGAGCCCATACAAAGACTGCTGAAGATGTCTGAGGCAAGGGGTGGCCTGGAAGCAACTGGCATGAGCTGATCACCAGGGACCAGTGCCGCATTTGCAGAAATGAGCACCATTTACTCAATGGATCTCATTATCTAACACGATAATACTGTTCTTTGTAATTATACCCTAGATTTCCTTAGGCTTTCTACTGTTATTACTCAGTTAAAGTCTTTAATACTGAGACTCCATGAGGTGAATAGCATCAAATGAAGGTATACGTAGCAAAATCCATTAATGTATTTTAATTGCAAGGTTTGGTAACACTTAAGGCAGTCATCCATCATCTATGAAGCCATCTATTAATACCTTGATAATGCATTGTAATGGTCAGTATAAGCCATTACAATGCATTATGAAGGTATCTATAGTGCATTATAGATGAAAGCTTCATAGAGCATTCACAATGCATAATAACCAGGGCTACAATGGGTTATACCTTTTCATAAATAATTATAGCCGTATTTATACTTCATGAATGCGTTATAATGCATTATGAGGGTATCTGTAATGCATTATACGACTGCTTTAAGTGTTACCAAAGATTTAATGTAATGTTTACATGGTAATACAGGCCTAAAGTAAACATTTTACTATATATCCCATATTTTACTGTACATTCCATTTATGTTATTTATGGTAGTCACATCATTTGGTTCTGTAGCAAAATCATTTATCATCATTGAGATACTGATGAGCTCAGATCTACCCCTATCATATAGAGCCAAAATATCAAATTGAATTTCTCATGCAAGTATATGTAGTATATGTTGACATGGGATATACTGATTATTTTGTCTTATGTATGTCAGTGAAGTTTCATTTCATTGTGTAAATCCTAACCAATATCATATATTTCGATAATGGCTGCGGCGTTCAGATTGTCCTTTTCCCTTATGCCAGATTCATGTTACGCCACTCATTCACACCAAGCCAAGCAGCACTGTATTAGGAAGCAGCTTCTGCAGTGTACATGCGTTGCCAATGTAGAGTGATTGGGTACACTTAACAGTAGTGTGATGCACAATTAATTTCAGTATGCTCCAGTAAAGCATACAGCTGTACAAAAAAGGCTGAAGTAGTTACATTATCTCAGTAGCTGCTATTAAATGTATACCATTCTAAACCAAAAGGCTAACAGCTAATGGTGAGTCTTATTCCACATTAGAACAATAATTGGGGAAAAAAAACAGACATTCTGCTTTAGCTTTCATCAGTATGGCATTTTTATTTAGTCTAAAAAAGAAGGGTGTATTTACATACTTCGGCACAAATTAATCATTAAATAAAACCAGATATGGAATCCAGTTTGTAACACCATCAGTATTCTTAACATTGCATTGAGGATGAATAATTTAATCAATCTGTTACACCAGCGCCTGGAATGAATATTGCATTTCAACTTAATGACTAAGCCAAACGTCCATGTCATGGAGGCCTAATGAACAGGACCGTTACACTTGTGATGATGTGTTCCAGCTGACAAATGGAACCTCAAACTTAGTCTTATTCCCCCCAAACTTCAGTTCAGAGTAATATGTACAACTGGCTGTGAAACTGACTATATACTATATATAAATCATGTTGAAAAATAATTTACTGTAATATAATAATACTACTAGAGCATTTGGTGATTTTTGAAAGGTTTTTGGTAATTTAGAGTACTAACTGAAATTCAGCACAAACCGATTCATTTATATAAAATCAGTTCTTATGTAAATACATAGATACTTATGCTAATTTACCAAAACCAGAAACCTGTACAAATCCATGTACAAATGTTACTGGACCCATTTCTAACACATAAAAAAAAAACTATGTACTCTGACTGAAAATGTTTGTTACAAAAAAGTTAAAACAACATTACAGGAATGTTAACATGTTAATAAATACAAAAACGCATGTATTCTTGGCAAATGAAGAGTCTCTCCAAATACTTTAAATAACAACAACAACAAATTTATTTTTGTATAGCGCATTATCACAACATTACATTGTCCCAAAGCGCTTTACAACATCCCCACCCAAAGCCCCCAGTGAGTAAGCCATAGGCGACAGTGGCAAGGAAAAACTCCCTAGAAGGAAGAAACCTTGGGAGACATTGGGAGACACAGTTTTTCAGCAAATGAAAAACTGTGAACCCCATAGGCAAGCCTCTCTTAAATTCCCTTTTAACGTGTCTGTAGTTGTTATGATTTGTACAAGAATAAACTAGCAATGGTTAATAGGAAATATGCACAATTCTCCCATTATCTGTGGGAACAAAGGATAGAATCGACCTTCCACGCTGGATGATGTGTCACCAATTACTCTGAACAAGCCACCATCATTAAGGCATTCTACTTTTCATGCAATTCCAGACCTGGCTGCACTTACAAATAAATGGAATCTAGACACATGGGAAATTTCTTAATCGCTGCAGCACCTGCAGAAAAAAAGTAACAGTTAAGCATCAATCTAAGGATTATCCATAGACTATGTTTCAACATGTTTAAAAAAGCCCTAACAAAGGAAGGAAGAAACTTAAGACCACATTTAACACCACAAGGGTGAGAAATACATCCACGAATGCGGCTTGTGACACACAAGCTACAGCCAATGTTGCTGTTCAAATGCTCCCCCCCCCCTCCCCGGGGATTCTGTGCATGTTGGCTCAAATCCTCTGTGCGCGTCACAACAATGGCAAGAACCACACTTTCTTTTCCAAACCATAAGCGTGGCTATGAGCAGCCACCGCCTACACGTGACCACACTGTGAACACATCGTTGTAATCCAGAGAGTCGGCGTGTGTCCGATGACTGCCTTTGAGGCTTGCACTGCATCAGAGGGAGATAAAGCAATCCCACAAAGTTTCAGCTGGAATGTCTCAGGCTGAGACAGTACTGCACACAAGTGAATAACCTTTAAAAATGTACACCATAAATTAAACAGAAAAAAATTAACAGAGACAATAACGCATGTTAAGGAATGTGGTACACCGCATCTTTTTCAGAGACTGTTTGCACATTTGTGAATATTTTTTTAAGCAGATCTCTACCTATAGTGGACACGTCACATGCCTTGGGGGTTGGGAAGGGAGATCCAGGCTGCTTCCCCTGAGCTCAGTCCATGAACAAACAGCAAAAGAAAGTCCTCCCAATATTCAACAGTATACAGAGCCCATGTAAGCCGCAAACATCTTGTGACAGTCAAGTGATTAAGTGACATGAAGTCTAACTGCTCACAAAGTCCACTGTTGGTTTATTGTGTCAGTTTTGGCTAGGAGGCCATAAATAAATGCCTCACGAGTATCGACAACAATGATAACCACTTGTCCAGACAAACAGGAAGTGTTTTAGTGTAATGGCAGTTGAGGTTGACCACTTATGAGTTTTTTTTTTTTGTTGATGAAAATCTTTTGCCAAGAACTAACAAATGAGAAAATGTAGAAATGGGGCCCACTTGCAGCATTGTAAGAATTAGGAGTAACAAAAGGATACTTTGTTTACATTTTTATTTGCACAATAAGACCTGGTCAGTAAAAAAAAACACGTAGTTCCTCAATCAGATTTATACTTGGCCAGATAATCACATGGGACAAATCAATAAAAAACCCATAGTTGACACTTAAGTTTTTTTGTGCAGTGAGGATTTCTGTCTTAGCCAATGGCTAAAATTAGAGAATGCTGGCCATCAATTCAAGCAGCTTTGAACACTGCTCAGTAACATGAAGATAATTTGCATGATAACAGCATCCACCCCCATGCCTCAATGAGGCAGCAGCAGCTCAGGCTTGTGTGATCAAGAACATTTCAGTCCTTTAAATGTATTTCCTGGTGAATCAGTAAGGCAGTGAAAATTTAACTGAGGTATATGACCATAAGAACTGGTTTAGTAAAATTTCATATGCACATATCATGGCTGGTCTCTACATCCCTATCTGACAGTTATGTTTTGCTAAAAGTTCTTGCAAATCATTTACCTTAAAGTGCTTGCAATAAAATGATCATGAGCAGTTTCCGATGACTGACGGCTAAAGAGCGCTGGGAACTGTTTCCTTTCAAAGTTACTTTAAGTGTGTCATCTTGCTGGATTTAAGCCATTTCGAGCAATTTCTACTCAAGCTGTCTGCTAAAAGAAGAAAGATAAAAGGGAGGCGGAATGAGGCAGGGATCATCCCTTCCTGTCATCCTGCCACTATCTGGATGTGGATGTATCATTAGCTGGGACTTTCAGGAGTCCTATAGGGGGCACTCTTTATGAGTCCCCCCTCCTCTCACTGGAGGCCACGTGCGGCACAGGGGAGCGGAGCCAGCCTTCTGCGGGGGGGGGGGGGTCATGCCACTGCTCCCACCCATTCAGGCACAGGGAAAGGCCATCAGAAAGCACTGCATTCCCACTCCAACTGAACCACGCTTCCCATTCCGGGCGTGTTTGGCACAGATCGGGCTCATTCCGCCTCCCGTCCTGAAACCATCCCAGACCTCAGAGATCACCTTCACAAGCCACTGAATTTAAATGCCAGTCAGGAAAACTAGTCTATACAAAGTCCATGGGGGCCATTTTACCAGGGATTGGGGGGGGGGGTTGTCAGGGGAGCAGCCTCAGATCTAGTTGTGGGTGGGGATTTGGGGGGGTAGATATGTCAGACAGAATGCACATGCGTGCTTGTGTACAGCATGCGTGTGTGTGTTTGTGTGTTCGAGTTTCTCACCCACGTTTTGCTGGGGCTGCGTGTGTCAGTCCATGTCTGCGCATGACACTTAGATGCGTGTGTGTAAACGAGTATGCATGTAAACATGTATGTATATGTGTGAGTGTGTGTATACACGTGCACTGTATGTCACTTGCTGCTGGACCCAGCTCACTCAGTCAACAGTTTGATCTCGTTGGCAAGGAGGGTGTTCATGTTGTAGGTGGTGTCGGGCAGGGCCGGGGCGGGGCCGTCGCGGCTCTCCGCCAGCTCCGGGTCGCTCTCGCTGGAGGTGGAGCCCACGCTCATGGTGCACACCGCCTCAGGCAGAGCGTTGGGCGGGGGGCACGCCTCTGGCTCACTGCTCGTCTCACTGGCACTGGACACCACCGACAGCAGTGACATCTTGCGGGTAAGGCGACTGGGCAGCAGCGAGAGGGCGTAGTCGGCCACTATGCCCGCCACGTCCATGCCGCACGCTTGGTCGAAGGCGATGAAGCCCACGTTGGCGTTGGCCTCGCACACCACGAAGGAGCCGTCGTTGAGCTGCAGCAGGTCGATGCCGCACACGTCCATGCCCAGGATGTTGGACACCTGCACTGCAAGCTGCTTCCCCTGCTCGCTCAACGGGCACATCATACCTACGCCGCCTGCAGGGGGCAACATTGTGCAGATCTTACACACTAATACAGGGTCCTTCCCAACCAATGCCATGATCTATTACACTGCTCACATACAATGGCCTTGGCTTTTATTTGGCATGGCTACATCGTAAATTTGATTACAGAAAAATGCTAAACGGCTGTTCCTCAGATTAAGGCCATACCGGAGAGACATGTACCAACCATATTTAATTTGGCTTCATTCACCTCCAAAAAAAATGGTTTTTAAATTGTTTCCCCCAAATCTCTCTCCCATGCCACATACAGATTCATACAGCTTTATAGCGTCAGATGAATTTGTGCGAGTTGGGAAAATATGATCAAAGACCACCATCCAATTCACTGTCCACTATAGTAATGAAAACTTGGGAATTAATAAGGATGCCACTTTTTTTGGTACCCCAATCCGATCCATTGAATATCTGCCATTCCTTTTTATAAATGTTTAAATATGCACACACACGCAGTAGGCTTGGCTGCATTCTTCATCTGAGTAAGCAATTCTTCCATATGATGTTTCTACATGTGTCTAATTAGATTTGTTGTATTAAACGACTGTTGCTATTTCCTCTTGAAAGGATGGCATTCCAGACATTGCAGGTAGCTGTTAGGCTACTTTGAGTTTCCAATTTAAAGAATTTCCACAAGGCTGACATCTCGATTGTTTATAGTTTCAAGCCATGTGCCTCAGGCTTACTGCAGCATGTGACGGAACCTTACAAATCCGCGCAAGTGACGTGAATTGGGTGGATGCGGGAAATGAAACAGACTGGACTTTAGATCGGGCTGCGATAGCCAATACTGATCAAGTAAAAAAAAAAAGAATCTCAGAATCCCAGTGACCCCAGGACTGTGAGCAGAGATATTTAGAGGGAGTTTCAGAGGTACATCAAAAGGTATTGGCTAAGCTTGGTTGGTATAGGCGATAAGGTATACTACAAAATTGTGAAATCTTGGCAATAAAATTCCGAACATTATACCGCCACACCAGCCCAAACAAACCCCGAACGGCCCTCTAGTCAAACTCAAAGCACTGCGTCGCATGCAGCCCACGTGCACATGAGGAGACCCAGCCACTCACCCAGGGAGCAGTTGCTCTGCATGCGGCCGTCAGTGGAGCAGCGCAACATGGAGCCGATGACGCGCCCCCCCACCAGCACCACCCGCACATCCTTGCCGTGGGACTCCTTGACATACTCCTGGAAGAGGTAGGGCGCGTCATGCCGGATCAGGTGGCTGAGGTCCGTCAGGTGATGCTTGTCCCGGGCCAGGAACACAGCCTTCCCTGTGAGGGGGGGGGGCGAATGTGTGTAAAGCCAGGCCAGATCAGCGCAAAAGCTGCGATGGCGGGATGGACTGTCACCCTGAGCATACCTGTCACCCTGAGCATACCTGTCACCCTGAGCATACCTGTCATGCTCTTGTGCCTTTCCGTGTGTTTTGCACTGATCTGCCCTCAAAAATTCCATTCAATCAGGTGGCTCACACTCCAAATTGCTCTTCAGAAACATGACACACAGTTCAGCAGCAGAGTAAATCTGTGCCGTTCCAACGCTCTGCCCGTTTCGGTCACTGGCACCATGTAGACATCAAAAAAAGAGTAATGAAAGGACGGCAATCTGGCTAATTTTTCAGTCAAGGGCAGTCTACGTGAACTTTTTACAAGGCTTCTGTGGAAAGACATCCCAAATACCACCAGTCAATAAATGCTTGAATATACTATGTGATAGCCATGCATTTTCTATTTGTGTCCACAGGGGGTGTGAGGCCCACCCCGGGCAGGCCAGGGCACAAGGCTGGGGTACAGCCTGCATGGAGCGCCAGTCCATCTCAGGACACACACACAAACAGACAGACAGACCCGTACTCATATCTTAGTGGGGACCATCCATTCATTTCTATGGGCAACAATCCCATTCTAATCCCAACAATGACGACCTTAACCCCTACCCAGCCCCAACCTTAACCATAGGTAACCAAACAAAATACCTCTTGACATTTTTAGTTTCTTGATAACAATTGAATTTCCCCTTGTGGGGACTGAAAAAATCGTCCGCACATCATCAAAATAACACATTTGGTCCCCACAATGTAATGTATACCTGCCCCCCTGCCACAAAATTATACTTCATGGGCAATTTAGAGATACCTACTGGCCTAAATGCATATCGTTGGACTGCGGGGGACAGACACACAAAAAACTGTCCTCCCTGTGTCATGTAAACTCCAGCCAAGGTAGGATTCAAACCCCCAACCCTGTCAGTATGAAGCAACAGTGCCACCCACTGAATCACCCGGAATAAGAAATGGCACATTTACCGGTAATTATGGCCCTCTCTTTGACACCTCACTAATAGCTGCATTTATAATTTTATAACCTTATTCCCTACATCAGTTTCTGCAGTGATTCAGGTGTAAAACACACCTGAAAATAACAGGCCTGCATAGTAGCGGCTCAACAGGAGTTTGGGTTCCCATCCTGGACAGAATTATCAGGAAAACGAAACCATATAGAGAAAATTAAAATAAAAACAGTTCATCAAAGAAAGAGCAGTGTTTAAATAGAGCAGCCAGCAAGCACACTAAGAGTTAACAGTTTGTCTACTCTATGAGTAGAGGGTGGACAGAACAGAAAAAAACCTAAACCAGACCAATATTTCCCTGTATATTTAAAACGAGCTGGAAAAACACGTCTGTGCTGTATAAGAGCCTGAAAGGCCAGTTTCCGTTGGGCCCAGGAAAGGCAGCGCAGCTGCGTCACGCAGACTGTGGAGGGAAACGCGGCCACTGGCACTTGGTGAACCAGACGCCATGGCGACGGCCATGGCGGGGTTAAGCAGCGATGATGGCGAAAACAGACCACGATGGCCCTGGCGGCCATGATGGACCAGAATCGCGGCCTCTTGCAAAAATAGTGCGAGAGACATCCAATAGAAATGGGGAGAAAGGGCCGTCCCTAAAGGCCAGCCCCAGATATAACCCAACATACTGTCTGCAACCCCCCAACCAAGATTCAAACAGGGAGCATTAACAAAAAGGAAGAGAGCAGCGTTACATTAGTGTGGCAATGGTAATTTGCATAAGTGTCAACGCAGGCATCTTTCCTGAATGCAAGATGGAGACAATGACACAGCAAACTCTTGGGGGGTGGGGGGGCAGACCTAAGACAATGTATTAAGCTAGTGTGTGAAAATGGGCACCACTGAATGGAAGTTATAGATGAAATTAAGATCCCCCCCCAAGGTCATTTGTGTATCACAGCACACAGACCCCACTGGTAGCAGACATGAACACACAGGCTCTCATCTTCATCCTTGATAATCCCATGTGATCCAGGCCGGGCTGCTTTGGTCCTTTGCACTTCAGGGAACACAATACAAATGAAACTATGGGTGGGGTGAGCAGATTAATATCTGCACAGTCGTGGGTTCAAATCTCTTGGCAGGCTAAGTAGTCACATCACCACTGGGCTATTAAACAAAGCTCTGAATTGTAAGCAATGGTGGGATGTGGTGAGACCATACTCTCAGACCTGACCAGGAACATCTGCAGTGATCCACCACAGTCATACTCTCAGACCTGACCAGGAACATCTGCAGTGATCCTACCCACCACAGTCACTTTCCACACTGCTGCCGTCTGGCAAGCGCTACAGAGACCTGTATTTCTGCATGGCGAGACTGCAGAACAGTTTCTACCCCGTGTTGGAGGACACTTTAGGCTCTTAATTCAGTCAGCACTTGCAAACAATACATACAGAACTTCGGGATATGAGAATAAACGACTCCAAACTAACCATTTGCATTGGTTGCACTGGTGCGCCTAACTTTTTCACATTTTCACAGCGCCTTTAGTGCCATAATAATACATTACAAGGTTACCGTTTTGTCATTTCCCATATATACTGATAGTTATGCAAGCGACTGTAAACAGGAACAAAGGTGCAGGAAAATGTCATTATTTGAATCACAGCCCAAACAAAAAATTGCAAAAACATCATTCATTTTAAAACATAACTAGGCTGGTGTTTAAAGTGCTTGGCAGACTGAAAATTTCAAAAGCTCAAACGGCTCATAAATGTGTGATGCTCCCCAGATACTCATAGAAAGGGCTTCGCTCTGCTGCTGCCTGGCAGACGGGCTGGACACTCCAGTGCTAATACACTCGTCATGACACAGGACGCGTTTCTTATACAGCGTTACTGAAACTGTACATGTAGGAATGTTTCAAAGGTGTTTTTATTATTATAAATTTAAAAAAAAAAAATCACTCAATTAGCTTGATAGCATAACTGACAAGTTTTATTGGATTAATGTATAATAGATACTTTATTGATTGCCATGGGGAGATGGTCTTCACGCCTCCCTCAACCTGCTTTTTGCAGAGTAAGTTGTCTGCGAAGGGCAGCCACCCACAGTGGTGCCCAGGGAGCTGGAGGTTAAGGGCCACTGAGCCACATCCTGCCCTGTGCTCAACAGCGGCAGCAAGAGTTAATAAAATACACTTACATCAATGAATGTTAAAATGTTTTATTAATTATTATTAATTATTATTTTTAAACAGTTTACTTTTAGGGTTTGCTTACAAAGCTCTGGCTGGTCAGAATCAGTGTCGCATCTTGGAAGAGAGAGACAGCTGCGTACAGATGCTCTTCATTGATTAAGGCTCCACGTTCAACACCATCACCCGAAACAAGCTGGCCACAAAGCTGATTGACCTGGGCCCCAACACACACCTGTCTAACTGGATTCTGGACGTTCACACCAGCAGCCCACAGACTGCATGCTTGGGCAAGCACTCCTCCACTGTCATAACGGTGAACACTGGAGCACCACAGGCCTGTGTGCTGAGTCCTCTGTTGTCCTCCCTTCACACACGACTGTAAACCCATCCAAGATTCCAACATAATCAAGTTTGCAGACAACGCCACCATGATAGGCCTGATCTCAAGCAATGAGCCAGCCTATATAGAGAAGGTCAAGAACGCGACAGCTGGAGCCGGGACAACAGCCTCGCCCTCAAACCGAAGAAAACCAAGGAGCGGATCCTGGACTTAAGGAGATCGACATACATCAAAATCAGCAGCGAGAAGGTGCAGTCAGTACAGAACTACAGATTTCTTGCTGTCCATTTCAGCTGGGGTCTTTCCTGGTCAACAAACACAACAGCCATGGCCAAAAAAGGACTTCAGAGGCTTCATTTCCCGAGAAGACTCAAGAAAGCACAACTTCCACAACAGCTGATGGTCAGCATCAGCAAGTGGGCCACGGAGAACATCCTCACATACTGCATCACAGTGTGGTGCCCAGGCAGCACCTGAGAACAGGAAGGTCCTCCAGAGCATCATCAAAACAGCCCAGGGGATCTCTGGCTCATAGCTTCCTACGCAGAAGGAACTCTTCAGAAGTTGCTGTAGCCGCAAAGGAAGATCTGCAGTGTTCCAACCCACCTCTTCACACTTCTGCCACCCAGCTAGCACTGCAGAGCCATATATGCCCACATGGCAAGACTGCAGAAGAGATTCTACCTCCAAGCTATCATACTGCTGCACTGGGCATGCCCCCCCCCCCCGTCACATCACCGCACTGAGCTGAACTGAGACGTACCCACACTACAGAGATCATGCATTACACATGCTGAAATATGCACTTTAATTGTTGTGCCTCCTAGCCATCATACAATCACCCACGTTGACTGTATGACAATACTGCTACCACAGTCATCTCAGTACCTCAGGTGGGTTCTATGAAATCCATTATACTGTGTAATACTGTTGATCTTGATCATTATCCTGCAGTAATACTACAACTCTCAACCGATGCCTTTCCCAGGTGCAATAATTTATGTGCAGTATTTCTCTTACTTCTATAGTGTGTATCTGCATTTGTACATTGCGATATGCTATTTATTTCTTTTTCTTAAATTTTTCTCTCTCAGCCTTCTGCAGAATAATCCAAACATCATCTCATTCTACTCATGCAGTGACACCAAAGATATCTCTTATGTTGCATCTCTTGTACCACACCTTCCAAAATTGTCCCAAACAGTCCAAAGCACTTCTTCCACCACCTTCTCTGAAAACACAATATGCTGTAGCAGCAGCGTAAGGATATAAGGGCATGAAAACAGAGGCTGTGTGTAAAGGCAGCAAGGTAGGGGAGGTGTGCATGTGTCTGTATGTGTGTGAGTGTGTCTGTATGTGTGTGTGTCTGTATGTGTGTGTGTGCGTGTGTCTGTATGTGTGTGTGTGCGTGTGTCTGTATGTGTGTGTGCGTGTGTTTGTATGTGTGTACATGTGACTTTGTGTAAGTCA